TTAAATGTGCAAACATGAAAAATGAGAAAGCCCTACATTAAACCCCGGTAAGTTTGCAAAAACCCATAAACCCTGTACATTGGGGGCACTGTTGTATTCAGGAGATGTTATTGAACACATATTGGGGTGTTCTTTGTCAGTAACATATAACAGACAGGAACTGAGAATACATGCCTAAAGTACAATGTGAGAGAAAAATAACACAAAAAAATTACTACCCAAAAGTTTGACAAAGACTGGTGGTAGAATTAGTATATGGAAAGTGTTAACATGCCACCATTTTAAATACCCTAAGGCATCTTCTTTTCAAAAATATATGGTTTGATGGGGGTAAATTACATTGGCCGGCTTAAAAAAAAAATCCCAAATAGGACATGTGTGCATGATGACCAACTGTGAAAATTACAAGTTGGAAAAATGGAATACACATCCTCCAAATAAGGTCTTTTAGCCCCCAGAGAAACTGACACACCTATGCATAGGTGGTATCACTGTACTCGGGAGATGTTGCTGAAAGCATATTGGGGTGTTCTTTGGCAGTAACCCTTAAAATTCCCAGTACATGTATTCTTAAATTGCTATGTGTGTCAAATAAATCACCAATTTATAATTTTTTTTAAATTTGGCATAGATTGGTGGTAAAATGGTTTCTTGAAAAGAGCATGAAAAGAGTCAAAATACCCCAAGTTTAGTACCTTAGGTTGTCTTTTAAAAAACATATACATGTGAAGAGTTATTCAGGGATTCAATGTTACAATGTAACTTGCTTTAATTTAGAAAAAAAATGGTTTGGAAATAGCATAGTGCTAATAGCAAAATGTTAACACTGGGTATTTCTAGTCAGGACAAAATTTAGAAACTATTTAGCATGGGGTTTTTTTGGCCGCTGTAGATGCGCAACAGATTTTTGGGGTCAAAGTTTGAAAACGTGTTTATTTTTATATTTTCTTTTCATCATATTTTATAATTTATAATTTGTCTTATAGTAAATTATATGATATGATGAAAATAATTATATTTTTAGAAATACCATTTATTGGCGAGAAAAACTGTATATAATATGTGTGGGAACAATAAATGAGTAAGAGGAAAATTACAGCTAAATACAAACACCGCAGAAATTTAAAAACAGTCCGGGTCCCAAACAATAAGAAAATTGAAAAGTGTCTGGTCACTAAGCAGTTAATATATGCCTTTTTTTGGGGGGGGGGGCAGCAAAATGGATTTATCAATCCTAATGCTACTTTTTCTGACAGAAACTAATTCTATTTAATTTCTCAATTTTCTGCAAACAATATTGGCATTTACTGTAAAAATAACCATCACTTTTAATATCACTTTTGAAACACTTAAATACATGATAGAAATAATGCTGATATTTAACTGCCACTTTTCAGAACAATTTAAACATATCCGCATTGTGTTAAGCACACTACAACGTACAAAGTACCCAAATTTAGAAGGTTCCTAACATACATTTTTCAATTAAAAAATTGTAATTGTAACTTATTACAATTTTTCATGGTACATTTTAACATGGTGGGAGGTTTGCTTTGAGCAGTTTACCAGTGATGTAAGTAAGGTATTTAGCTACAAACATATATTTCTTCAATGTTAAAATCAGTCTGTCTGTCAATCTTTCTGCCTGTGTCATCTGCCTATCTGCCTGATTCTTTTGTCTTTTTTCCTTTCTTCCTCACCAAATTCAACCAACATGAGCCAAAATAATGTTAATTAAAGAAACTCTGAAAGAGCGCTGGGAGAGGTAGAAAGAGCACCAGGAGAGAGCGGTAGCTCGTAGACCGAGATTACGGTGAATGAGAAGAAGCTGTTGGTGATCAAAAGTGTCAAAAGCAGCAGAAAGGTCAAAGAGAATTAGAATAGAGTGGCCACAGGATTTTGCAGTGATAAGATCATTGGATACTTTGGTCACAGCTGTTTCAACAGAATGACGAGTGTGGAATCCAGATTGAAGCGGGTAAAGCAGAGAGTTGGATTCGAGGAAGTCTGTCAAGCTCGCATACACAACTCTTTCAGGGATCTTGGAGAGACTGAATTGAAAATTAAGTATGCATTGATAATTAAATCATTGCATTTTCTTTTCCTCTTTGCCCCTAAATAAGGCAGCAGGGGCAGATCCAGAACCAAATCTTGGGAGGGGCACTGGTGCTGGGCTATAATGGTTAAAAAGGGCTGCAGTGGAGGGATAGGGTCTTCTAGTTTAGGGGATAGGAGGCTGTACACATATGCGGCTACACACAGGGATTTGGAAACACAATAACACACTGACACATACACACAGATACAAACATATACCTTCAGACACATACACTGGCACACACAGATGCAAACCTATACCTACACAGGCACATACAGATACAGACACACATACCTTCACACACTGGCACACACACAGATACACATCCCTACACATAGATAAACACATACACACACTGGCACACATATACACACACATACCTGCACATACACACACTGGCACATAGATACACACATACCTACACATGTACACTGACGCACACACACACACACACACACATATCCCTACACATACAGACACACAGAAACGCACATACACACACACTGGCACACATACCTTCACATACACACACAGATAAAAGGTAATAGAACATACAGGCAAAACTCCAGATACTGAAGGTGTATAAATTGGAGGCTAGAACACCCCATAAAAGTGAAAAAAGTGTGACATGTTTAAGTCCCTCTAGGGCCAAAACATTTCACTTTTTCACTTTTATGTGGTTTTCTACCCTCCAATAAATACACCTTCTATACCTGAAGTTTTGCCTGTATATTCTATTACCTTGTAGTGTTGGATGGATTAGCAGTATCTGTCTTATGCAGTGCACCTCTGAGCCTGTGGGCCGGAGTGAAAAGCGGAACCTGAGTGCAGTGGACTACATTGTATGTGCTACACACAGATACACACACATACATATTCGCAGATATACCCTGATACTCACAGATACATCCTGATACTCACAGATGCACACACTGACACACAAACATACTCACAGATACACACTGACACTCACAGATATCTACACATACACACTTGAATACACACTGATACTCACACATACAGACACTCACATACAGATACACACATGCCTACACACAGATAAACACTGACACTCACAGGCACACAGATATACACACATAGATACATACACACACACACACACACACACACTCACAGATACACACAAACACACACACATGCACACTGACAAACACACACACATACTCTCAGATATGCACTGATATACAGATACACACTGACTGTAGAGGAATGGACCTCTACAAGAGACAAGTTGTTCTGTATATGGGCTGTCCATGTCTTCTCCCCTGTTGTTTCGTACATTTTGCTGTGTTATTTCGTATAATTCTGCTTTTGCCATTCATCTCCCAAACGAGGACCACCCCTGTGCCCCATTAGAACGTTAACACCTGCCACTTAAGTGCAAAAACTGCAAGGGAAAAATTTAATGAGTGTTCCCCCTGGGTGGCCACCATTTTGTAAACCGAGCACGTGGCTGAGAGAATGGCAGCCATCTTGTCTCCCAAACAAGGGCAGCAGTACTTGGTCGTCGAGTGCTTGGAACTATTTTCAGCTAGAGTCACGTGCAAACAAAGGAAAACTGTAGACCGATGACCGTTCCTGTTCCCGACCACCAAAAGAACCTATAAGAACTTCCATACTTACCAATCTTCCTGTGCACTCTTAATCGGTCCTGCTTAATTGTTTACATTGCTGTATTAATTTATAATACTAGTAGGCATTTTTAACAGAGTATAGATTTCTAATACCTTTTATATGTTCACTGTTTGCACACAAGCATATACACCACATGTTAAGATTTGTTATAATTAAAATGTGTTTTTTTTTTTATTTTATGGATCTAATACTATCTCTGGTAGCAACTAGTCTAGTATCTCTAAGATTTGACAGTTGGTCCATGCTAAAGGATCTCCAAGAGGCAAGAGGGATAGTGGCAAGCAACAAGAAAAAGGCTACCATCATTGCTGAAGTGATGGCAGAATACCGAACGGATGGCGGCTCGGTTCCCGAACGGAGCGGTTCGGTACATGAACAGGAACAGGAACCAACGGAGTTTCTTTGGAAATTGCAATTTTGGTTGTCCTTCTCTGAGGAAAATCCACCTACAGACATTGTGGCATGAACCATGACAGAGGTCCAGGAGTTCGTACTAAGCAAAGGGAGCAACAAATCCCCGAAAGAACCCAAGCAGTGACAAAGGTACAAGATGGTAAGCCTAAAATAACTTATAATGCATTCAAAAACAATGTAAAAACTTCCCAAACCAATGCACAGAGAGAACTGTCATTCTTGGCCAATATAGTTAACCTTTTTTATTTGTTTTGTCATTTATTTAGTCTTGTAGGAAGCTTATACAATACTATCCAATGCAACAATTTCCTATTTTGTGTGTGTTAGTTTATAAAACACAAACAGTTAGATTCAATTTATTGATGTAAAGTTGGCACAGGATTCATGACTTCTGATGAGATTTTTTTAATATAAATACAATTTCAGACATTATATATTTTTTTATATGTATTTCAGTTTCTCTTGTTCTTTATTTGGGGTGAAGTACTGCTTCATTAGCATTGCCAGAGGTAGATACCTTGAATCATATGAAAACCATAATTAGCCTTTAAAAAATAATATATAGTATGTGTGGCAGAACTTAATGATTGCACAAATAAGAAAAACATTTTGTTTACTTTATTAATTTATTAATTGCTACAATAAATTTCCTTAATTAAGAGATTCTATGACTGATTGTTAAATGTAACTTACAAAATTTTAGAAAAACTGTATTTTTTAATAGAAACATAGAAATAAAGGATGTGACAGCAGAGAACCATTCGGCCCATTTAGTCTGCCCAATTTTCTAAATACTTTCATTAGTCTCTGGCCTTATCTTATAGCTAGGATAGCCTTATGCCTATCCTACACATGCTTAAACTCCTTTACTGTGTTAACCTCTACTACTTCAACTGGAAGGCTATTCCATGCATCCACTACCCTCTCATTAAAGTAATACTTCCTGATATTTTTAAATCTTTGCCCCTCTAATGTAAGACTATGTCCTATTTTTGTGGTAGTTTTTATTTTAAATATAGTCTCCTCCTTTACTGTGTTGGTTCCCTTTATGTATTTCAATGTTTCTATCATATGCCTCCTGTCTCGTTTTTCCTCAAAGCTATACATATTAAGATCTTTTAACCTTTCCTGTTGAGTTTTATCCTGCAATTCATGAACCAGTTTAGTAGCCCTTCTCTGAACTCTCTTTCTAAAGTATCTTGATCCTTCTGGAGATATGGTCTCCAGTGCTGTGTAAAATACTCCAAGTGAGGTCTCACCAGTGTTCTGTACAATTGCATGAGCACTTCCCTTTTTCTACTGCTACTACCTCTCCCTATCCAACCTAGCATTCTGCTAGCCATTACTGCTGCTCTATTACATTGTCTGCCTACCTTTAAGTCATCTGATATAATTACCCCTAAATCTCTTTCCTCAGATGTTGAGGTTAGGACTCTATTAAATATTCTATACTCTGCCCTTGGGTTTTTACATCCCAGATGCATTATTTATATTTATATTATATTTATAAAATATTTTACCAGGAAAGATACATTGAGATTTCTCTCGTTTATCTTGCACTTATCCACATTAAATTTCAGCTGCCACAATTTTTCTAATTTACCTAAATCATTTGCCATTTGGCTTATCCCTCCTAGAACATCAACCCTGTTACATATCTTCGTTTCATTAGCAAAACGACATACCTTACCATCAATACCTTCTGCAATATCACTAATAAAAATATTAAAACGAATGGGTCCAAGTACAGATCCTTGAGATACCCCACTGGTGATAAGACCGTGCTTTGTATATACTCCATTGACTACAACCCTCTGTTGTCTGTCACTCAGCCACTGCCTAACCTATTTAACAATATTGGAATATAGGCCTTTTGAGCATCATGTGAATTGTAGTGTGTAGCTTCTAGGCTGCCAATGTTAACTGTGTTCATTCTATGACATTTTGCAAATACACAAGTAATTCTTGTGGAATAGGAAGCATGTGGTCTCCATTAAAATAAAAACTGCTATCAGTGAGCATGCATGTTTTATAAATGCTCCTAGGGATCAGTTTGTCACGTCATGTGTCCAAAATGATGCATTAGTATGGTGCGTGTCAATCTGGCGTATATCACTATGTGGATTTCTGGATGGACCTGTGAGAAATAGAACAGACTCAAAAAGCAAAGCATTAGTTCAGAAAATATGAATTTATTGGCTAATAGGTAATCAGAACACATGTATAGAAAGCTAAGTGCAGAAATAAATAGAGCTAAGTACATATGTACTCCAATCTACGTTATATAATATATAATTTCATCATTCTCTGTCATCTGAGAACAGAGATTTCTTCCTTTTCGCCAGATTTCGATACAGTTCAATTTTGAATGTGAAAGGTAAGATTCATTCTTGAAGCTGCTATGCAATCACTGATTCTACGTAGAGATTAGTAGGAAGTTCCTATCATCTGAAAAAGATGCAAACAGTAAATAAAACAATCTTTAACTAGCGAAGGCTACAGACTACCAAAATATATGTCTAATGAAATGTCCAACATACACATCTCACATAACTTGGGATTTTCTTGAACTAAAAGTTGATCACCATTTTCAGAAATAGACCTTTTGTGGCTGGTCTTAAATTTTGCAAGTCAGTTGCCAACCCATCACAACTCTAAGCTCCAAACAATTACAACACCAATGATGCTTTGAAGCGATCAAACTCTTTAATGCCCTATGCACTCTCTAATACCCTATATGTTGTAGTCAAAAACATTGAGCTAATGCATTCATTAAATGTTCAGCTGTTAATATTTTCTGTACTCTAATTGTTTTTATTTTCCTTTTTTTTTTTAATAATGTAGTTTGCTGCAGTCACTTTGATGGAAATAAATAGTTCCTGCAACTATCATGACCATGTGTTTCTGGACTTTGTCTTAACCAGTAGTTCCTAACTCCTCTTCCAGGTTCTAAAACTTTGTTCCCATTTCATTTTAGTGGATCCACACTGGGAGAGACACATAAAGTGCCAAACAATTGCTCACAGTAACAGTGCTTTTCCCAATATAATGAAGACCCCTTGGACAACAGGAGGACTCTAATAATAATGTTTTGCATAATATATGTTTGCCTTATAGTACTTTATACAAATGCCTCATCGTGCTCTTTGTAAAATTAAATAATATTTTGCCAAGCTACTGCCATTTATGTAAATTACATCATTGCCAAAAAAGATTAAGAGCCAGTGGTCTACATCCTATTTTTACCAGTGCCAGTACAATATTTGTCACATTTTCTTTTAGTACAACTGCATCAGGACCACCCACACTCACCTTCTTCCGGAAAATGACCGCTGCAACAATAATTCCGTACAATGCACTTTTACACAAAACTAGAATATAGGAGATCTTCCCTTCATTTACCTTCCTCCTGACAAATTCTAAAATGAAAAGAAATAAAATACACGTGAGTTATCTGACAATGATAAATGCTTCTTAGTTCCTCGTGCGGTCACTAACATGAAAACCTATCTGGTTCCTTTATCCTAAAAATATCAGTAAAAAGTCAATTCCAAAAACTGAAACCAGTCTGTTTGTCTTTCTATCCGTCCATCAGTCAATCTATCTGTCTATCTATCTATCTATCTATCTATCGTTCTATCTATCTATCTATCTATCTATATATATATATATATCTACAGGTATCTATCTACCGTTCTATCTACCGTTCTATCTATCTATCTATCTATCTATCTATTTATCTATATATCTACAGTTCTATCTATCTATCTATCTATCTATCTATGTATCTATCTACTGTTCTATCTAGCTGTCTATCGATCTATCTGCTGTTCTATCTATCTATCTATCTATCTATCTATATATCTACAGGTATATATCTATCTATCTATCTATATATCTACAGGTATCTATCTATCTATCTATCTATCTATCTATCTACAGTTCTAGCTTTCTACCGTTCTATCTATCTATCTATCTATCTATCTATCTATCTATTTATCTATATATCTACAGTTCTATCTATCTATCTATCTATCTATCTACTGTTCTATCTAGCTATCTATCAATCTATCTACTGTTCTATCTATCTATCTATATATCTATCTACAGGTATCTATCCATCTATCCATCTACAGGTATCTATCTATCTAGCTATCTATCTATCTACAGGTATCTATCTATCTAGCTATCTATTCATCCATCTATCCATTTATCCATTTATCCATCCATCCATGCATCTCAGACTTACCTGTAGCGCCGGTGCACTCTGTTGAGAAGAGAGAAGAAGAGATAAATTGTTATCATGAGAATATTTTCATGGAATATACTATAACTGTCCCCACATCCTCTTCTTCATGATACTTTCTAAATACACACGGCTTTTCCCTTTTCACCAGTCTCCTGCTCTGATCTCTGTGATTGTTTAAGTGATCTGAATTTCTAAATCCTTCACAGGATTGTCTCCAACTACATCAGTTAAAAAAATCATAAAATCACTTTATGATTGTCTTCCATTGGTAATACTAATGTCAACAGTCTTAAACATTAAATAGAAATAATTAAGTATAAAATCTTCCACATATATGTTTAAAATAAAAATATAGATGTCACCTCTTATTTTGTTCCCTTCTCTCAATAACTCATAACTAACTCTGACACTTCCCACAGATTTACGCCTAATTTGGGATAACTATTATTTGTTTTCTTCCTGGGCCCCAATAATTTGCTTCATTTGCTGAATTTGCCCAAACATTTCCCACTTACTTTTTTCTCCGTTAATCTCCTTGTGTGTCACATTCTCCCAGCCCGGGAAGCTGGCTTCACATCGGAAAGTGTTTGATGGGGTATAATATTCCTGTTTTGTCAGAATGAGCCGCCGACTGATTGAATATGTGTCCTTTTCACGTAAAATTGGCTTGTTTTGATCATAAGTAACCCGTACCTCTCCATTTACCTTCCAGCGAATAGACACGTGTTCTGGGTAGAAACCACTAGCAACACAGACTAGTGACAGAGAGCCCTTATCTTTTAATTCTTGTAGGTTAGGAGGGAAGATTGTTACCTCGGGATATTTCTGCACCTTATCGGCTTCTGAAAAGGAAAGAAAGGAGAAGTTTAATTACCCATTTCTCAATTTATCTACTGTTCCTATGATAAATTTTGCAAGTCCAAACAAACAGTTACAATTGCAATTATTTTTATACTGGCAATACATTCTACAGTGATGTGCAATAGGTAAATCAATACAAACAACTCTAACACAAATTTATGACATACGGAAAAAGTAGGTGAAAAGGGCCCTGTCCAAATAAGTTTACACTCTAAAAGGATGAGGGACAAACGCAGAGGGAAGTGAGGGAATCAAATGATCTGTATGTACCTGAAAGGATGGGAGGGGTGTTTGGAAGTAGGGAGTACAGTGGATGGGAGACAGCAGAGGAAGGTTGTAAGTGATGAGGATTTAAAGAGTACTAAATAACAGCATGTAATAAATATTAGCTCTCTCAATAAATGTGTCATTTAGATGCCTTTGTATTCTGTGTATAAACCTTGGATAAACTATTGCAGTGAATATTATAAATTTGCACAGGGGATCGGTTCAAAGGGCTAAATGTTGAGAGACTTGCCATTGGTTTCTATGGTGATTGATTCCTATTTATTTATTTATAAATCACACTCCGATGTACTGAGTTGATTATTTCTTTCATGTCCGAGATCAGGGGTAGGTAACCTTTGGCACTACAGATGTTACGAACTACATCTCCCATGATGCTTTGAGCATTATTGTAGATGTAGTCCAAAACATCTGGAGTGCCGCAGGTTGCCTGTACCGGTGCTAGATGCAACTAGCACTGACATTAGCACATATGGAGTTATACAGGTGCCATTGACTATCAGACTAACAGTGACTTAATTAATTTGGATGACAAAAAAAAGTGATTTTTATGGGCTAGATAAATAGGTAGCACAAGACATAAAACTTGTAATCAGGGACAAAATACCCGCATGAGTTGTACAAAATATAATGTAATAAAAAATTAAGTGAAAAATATCAGGGATGTATTTATTCTAAAAATAAAATAAGCAAGCCACAATCGAATGGCTGAACTTGGTAACTGATCTTGGATCGGTAATGAAACTTGTCTAGGATAGGATCACTCTCGAAAAATGATAAAACATCTAGTTTTTCTGGGGCATAATAAGTTCCCTAAAATGTATATTCTTACATAATACCAGTTCAGGACTAATAATGTATCTTCATTTATGACAGATGACATGGCAAGACTGTCACAATACAGTGTGTGCTACCCAATCCTTGTCAAAATTCAGGCCCTCTACTAAGGTAGTATCTAGTCTCTAGATTCAAGAGACATACTGGTCCTATGCCATAGCAATTAATGGTATTATTCATAATTATTACTGATATACCCGCAGTATCCCTATTTCTGTTATGTGGAAACTGTTTTTTTTTTTTAGATTTTGTACATAACTGGGGGTATGACTTAATTAATTACTGTTAATAGTAGAGATCAGATGCTCAGATACTCTCTACAAGGCTTTTAGTCATTTCCATTTACAGTCCTGCAGTATTTTTACTCTATTTACTGTCAGAAAAAAATATCCCTATTTTCCCCCACTGTTACTTACAGTGTACTATTAATATTAAACACATATGATATCTCAAGTTCTTTAAATTTTTATTTTTATTTCTTTTATATAAAGTCTTAATATTATTTATTTATTTTATGTTTAGTGTTCATGTTCCACCACTGTTAGAGCCCATAAAAGCTTTAGCAAGAGGTATGATGATGTTGATATACATGTGTCTGTATTGTCAGAGATTCCTATGAATTGTTTCTCTTTTCTGTTTTTGTGTATTTTTGGTGAGCGTTAGTTACTGTCAGTGATGTATCATGTAATGACCCGGGGAACAGGAGGAAATTGTCAAGATTAAACAACCTTTGCTAAATAACTTATTATAGTAGTAATATATTTATACACAAGTAGTGTGCCAGGTATTTCTGCATATACCCTTATGTAGAACAGAATTATGTTCCCTGTCCACATGTTATGTCCCTAACTTTAATTTTATTCAAATATTGTATTTGTCCATTACCTGGCAGAATATAAAAGTCACAATATTTAATTATTTATTCACAAAACAGTAAACAGTGGTTCATACTACAGTAAATATGTGGTATGCATTTTCAAATAAATGTAAGCCTCCCTTATGATTCCATATTCAACGAATGCTCAACTTATATAAAATAAAAGCAAACACGTTCCTTCGGGTTCACACAGTGATACAATGTGCTGTGGATGCCTATGAATAGGACATTGTATATAAAGAGAGAACATCATTAATAAATAAATGTTTTACTACATTACAGAACAATATATATATATATACATAGAATACAAAATCCAGCGCACTCGCTTATTCACTAAACAATGATTTCAAATCTTAGAGATTGTAATAGTTTTATTTAAAAACACCTCACCTAGGCATTAAAAAATAATGGGGGTTTAGTTCCATTATATGATCATATATTGCATAAGCCTGCCACAACGTCAATGTACCCCATTCTTGGCAGGTATATATATTCACTAAACAATTTAACAACTTGTAAAATGTAGGTTAAAATAACTGTTAACAAAAATCTCCAATTAGGGTGAAATGAACATCTTTTTCCAACTTAGATATTTTGGCCTATATTTTGTAAGTCAGTTGGCAACTCACCACAAACTGTTGTTTAGTGAAACCTCAGAAACTCTTTTTACAGTTTACTGATATAACAATATACCATTTCAGAATATATTATACATTATTAGGCAGATTTTTCACTGACCAAAAAAATATATCTGGGCTATTATTATATAGCACAGTTTCATTAAGATGTAAATGCATTAATTTATACAATTTGATATGTATTTCCAGAGTGTGAATATTAAAATTTACCAATACGTATTTTAAGAGTAGTGATATTGAACATTTTGATAACTATTTCCACTGTAAGCATATTATATAAAAAATACATGAGACATTTTTTTGTTATTAAAATAACTTTTTGATAAATTTTATTTATTTTTTCCATAAACTTAACATATGCGACCAAGTCATAATTCACAAGTTGTACTTGTTTCAAACAGCTAGTTGTATGGTCTTGTGCATGATGGGATTTTAATTTATATCCAAATATGTATAAAAAAAAGTCATGTTTGAAAAATAGCTGCCCTGAATTTTTAGTCTTAATTTTGAATGTTTGTTTTCAATTCCTTGTTATTGACTGCTTAATAAATATATCTCTCTGATGTAAATCAATCAAACTCACATGAATAAAAACATATGTTATATATCTCCATTACACAAAAAGTATTATGTATAAAATCTTCCACATATGGTTAAAAAAAGATAGAAGATCTAATAAGAGGTCTCCTGGGAGTAGAGTCTCTCCAGAGAGTTCACAATAGTACAGCTCCCCCAAACACAACAATTATCACCATAAGCAAACAATTAAGTCCATATACTATTCAAAACTACTGGAAAGCTATTTTCACCTTAATTTGAAATTCACAATGAATTTACCTTGGATTCACCCTATTAAGATTACCTATGTTAACTGAATTACTATTTTTGTCAAGTTTCTGAATACAGTTCATAACGCTTATTATTTAGTCGACTGAAGCATTTTATTGTTTGTAACTAAGCACTAAGGTTAATATACATTAAAAAAATAAAACTGGTATAGCTTCTATAATTAATGTAGACACAGAAACTGTAAACAAAATCTGAGCCTGCACTATATATGAATTGAAGTAAGTGGCAACAATTAACCTTCAACTTACCAATCACCGATAATATAGTCCCTGGTCCAAAGTCAAGCTTGTTACCAGTATTCACAGCCATATATTAGTGTATAATAACCTCCCCATACTGCCATCCTAAAAATCAATCACTTACCTAGCACGCTGAGGACAGTACCATCGCCAAAGTATTGAGCTGAGCCTGTCACAGTGAGAAACCCCCTTACAGAAAATCTAGAATTTACCCAATGGCGAGAACTGTCCTTAATTGGAACACATGGTCAGTGTTCAGCACTGGACAGCTCCTCTGCTACATTCTATGGATCACATACTGTTCCACTCAATGCTAATCTGACCAGTTACAGTATAAATGGGCTAGCATGGACATGGGGACAAGTGAACTCCCTGCATACTCAGCAGCCTATGGAAACGTACTATATGCTTTACATACACATGGCAGTACTCAGCCTCTAGATATATGGGAACTTTTTGTAAAGCATATGCATTGGACTGAATCATGGTGCTGCCCCAGTCCCACATTGTTATACTCTGCTACAATAAAGAGTTTTCTATCCTCACACCATTTAAGATAGAAACTTAATATTCTGCTAAGAACTCTATGCAAAGAATATAAATAGTAACAACATACAATATATTGACTGGTCTATAATGTACATCCACACAATCTCCTTTAGATATTAAACTAATGAATTATACACTCCTAACTATGAGTAAATTATTGTACAAAGACTAGATTGTAAGATCATGGTCAGGTTTCTCTATTTACTTAGTAGCAGTATGTGTAGGCACTTATAAAACTTATAAATAAATCTAATTTCAATTTATTTATTTTTTTAAATATATTTTTTCTTATTAGCTTGTATCCATTACAAATAAGGGATGTCTACTATCACATGGGCTAACAGGTCAACAAATTATTTTAAAGAGACAGTTAAAGTGTGTTTGATACTTAAAAAAATATTGGATTATGGTCACTGAGTGTAGTATACCTAAACAATGCATAGAAAATAAGGTTATTGAGCATGAAAATTAATTTATTGCTCATCTGTGACATAAGAGCTGACAATCAAATTGGTACACTGAAAACAAAGTTAGCATGTAGAATTTATATAAGATGATACTATGATGGGATATTAAATATATCACATAACTTACCAGTCACAAATAACACAGTTCCCTCTCCAAACTCTAGCTTTGCTGCGTTGCTAACACAGCACCACATCTCTGTATAATAACCTTCCCCGTGCCTCCACTAAAATTTATTAACTTACCCTGCACACTGAGCACAGTCCTGGATTCAAAGTCTTCAGCAGTGTTGGTCACCGTGACAAACCCTTACAGATACTATGAGTAAAGGATTGTGACAAGGCTAGATTGTAAGCTCATGTGTCAGGCTTCTCCAGTTAAATCTAATTTCTAAATTTGTATTTGCTTGTATCAATTACAAATAAGTGATTTCTGTTACCTTATGGGCAAACAGTTTAACAAATTCTTTGCAATTGACCATTACTGTGCGTTCTTTATACCTAAGGTTACACAGTGTTGTATACCCAAACAATGCATAGTAAGCAATGTTACAAACTACTGAATGCCTTAATAATAATATTAATAATAATAACAACAAAGTATTTAACCAGGAAAGGTACATTCAGATTACTCTGGTTTTCAAATACGTCCTGGGGATGTTACCTTAGCCCAACATCAAGGGGTTGTTACTATTACCCAATTTAATGGTACTCATTAAATAATGCAGACAGACATGGAATAAAGTCTTCAGATGGACCTTTTATGACACTTTATATATTGCTTATCTGTGATAATATTATGATGAGATATTAAAAATATCACGTTACTTACCAGTCACAAATAACACAGTTCCCTCTCCAAACTCTAGCTTGTTTGCACCGCTAGCACAGCACAACATCAGTGTATAATTACCTTTCCCTGTCCCCCCACTAAAATGTACTCACTTACCTAGGACGCTGAGCACAGTCCCAGATCCAAAGTAGGCAACATTAGCATTCACAGTGAGAAATTCCTTACAGATATCCTAGGATATACTCCAGTGACGAGAACTTCCCACAACATATATCATAAGGACTGGACATTATCCAGATTGTCCCACTCAATACCAGCATGAAAAGCAACAACTGAACTCCAGACACAATCAACAGTCTGTAGATACATGATTTATGTTTTACACACATGGCATTGAACATTATATAGATTTATGTGCTAAACACTCATGGCAGGTTTATGTAAAGAGCTTTCATTAGATTGTATCATGGTGCTGTCCCCACAATGTTACATTCTACTACAAAAAGAATAATCTGCCCTCATCACAAAAACTGATCAACTCCAAACTGCCTTGATATCTCCCCTTCAACACTTCAACAACAGAATATTATATATTGAACCTCTGAGAATCTGATTGGTGATATGGACTAAATTGCATTTACATTGAGTACTGCACTGGTTAAATATATGTTTATTATTTAATCTTCATTTCAAATATCTCACTAATGGGAATCCAGAACTGCTGGATTGGGTCCTATTCTAAAATAATAATATTCTCCTTACTGCATATTATTGACATGAGATGATTGTACTTATTAAGACTCTGTAAGGTAAGACCTAGAGTTGAGTCTCTCCACAGAGAGACCCCAGTGAGACTGAAATCTTAATAATACAAAATGAAGATGGGTCTACGGAGATTAATACTGCCAAAAATATGTTAAACTCTCTTTTAATTGCAGTTTTCTATATGCTGGTCCTAAGCACCCTTCCATATAAATTTATTGAGCAGTATATTTTTAACTTTCTAATTTCTATATCAACCAATAAATATACTCATACACCCAGAATGCAAAGGTTAACATACATTAGATTAACACATGCTACATTTAGATAAAGACATGTTGCTGTTTCTATACTGTTTTTCATTTAGAAATTCCGCACAAATCATTATCAATAGACCTAACAATCACATTGACTAAAACATTGCAAAGGATAATTTAGAAATAGTATGTGATAATATTCACAGTAAATGGTAAACATTATTACAGAACTTACCGACTACAGATAATATGGTTCCCTCTCCAAACTCAAGCTTTGTGTTACCAGTATTCACAGCCTTACAACAGTGTATTAAAACCTCTCGCTGTTCACCTTAAAATCTACTCACTTACCCAACACACTGAGCACAGTTCCAGCCCCAAAGTTTAAAGCTGAGGTTGTTGACACAGTATGAAATCCTTTACATATAACCTGGAATGTATCCCACTAGAAGAACAATGACCCTATTTGCAGGGCAAAGCCAACCTTCCGAACCGAACATCTACTCTGTTTGTATCCAATAAGTCTCAAACTGTCTGACTCAGTAACAATCTGAACATTTGCAGAACAGTAATCACCATCCTGGGAACATGTGAACTCCTCACACAATCAGCAGCCAATAGATACATGAGATATATGGCCTATATACATATGGCAGGTTTATGTAAAGACCTTACATTAGTTTGTATCATGGTGCTGTCCCCACAATGTTACATTCTACTACAAAAAGAACATTATTCCCTCACTGCAAACTGTCCTGATACCTCCACTTTAGTAAACATTTGTTACTTTACAGAGCTTTTCTTTACAAACAGAGATTTTAGATTAATCCTTTTGTTATATCATATAACTAATATAAAACTGTATAACAACCTAAATTACACTATTTATTTATACCTTGCAAATTAATTTAATATTTGTATATGATTTCCTAGATAAATTTTTCCAGTTCAAATAAAAAAAGGTTGCGTTAATTATGTCTAAATATTTAATTCCCTTTTAAATTGTTGTTTGCTACCATAAATGCATATACCAGGGCACAATTCAATTTATGTTTGGATTTTTTCTGTTAAGAATTTGCTGAAGCAAGTCAACCAAACAGCATTATATTTTTACTCAATCTAAACGTATCACTTCCCAAACTCTATATGATAATATTGTTTTATTCTAGCAGAACTTTGTAACAGAGATTTTTCTCCAGATGTTAAAACTAAATTCAGGCTTTATGAATGCATCAATTGTGAATTTAAAGTTATTCTTATGGTTTTATTTAATTTCTAGCGATTGTCTGCTCCATTAACTTTCATAGTTTAACATGCTTCTAGAATGGCAATAAAATAACCCAAAAAGAATTTGTTACTCACTTACCTAAAACAGCCAAGATTGTGCCAGGTCCAAAATATTGTCTTTCGCTGGTCACAGCCTCAAACCTCTATACTGAATATCTGTCTTACTATCTAACATCCAAGCATTTTGCCATCTATTAATCTCATTTTTAGGGGACCATCGTGTTTTAAGCAAATCTTTAGTAATATCAGTATTTAATAAACTTAAAATGTTCTGCAGGTTTCTAGATTGCTTTATTTAATGTTAAATTAACAAATATGAATAATGCTTTTCACTGAATTTTTAAAGAACATTCTCATTATTATGAAAAATATATTTTATGTCATCATACCACCTAGCTATTTTGAGGACTGTCTGCTAAACTTTACCAGCTTTTCCAGTTTGGGATATTTTTAAGGAGCCCTGATAATAACATATTTACATTGACTTTTTATGACAATTCATATAATGCTAAACTGTAAAGGTAAGAGCTGACAATCAAAATGTACACTAAAAACAAGCTTTACATCTAGAATTATATAAGATGATACTATGATGAGATATTAAAAATATCACATAACTTACCAGTCACAAATAACACAGTTCCCTCTCCGAACTCCAGCTTGCTTGCACTGTTAGCACAGCACAACATCAGTGTATAATAACCTTTCCCTGTTCCCCAACTAAAATGTACTTACTTACCCAGAACACTGAGCACAGTCCCAGATCCAAAGTAAGCAGCAGTGTTGGTCACAGTGAGAAATCCCTTACAGAGAACCTATTATATACTCCAGTGTGGAGAACGTCTCTCCATTTAAATCAAGACCACCATTTAACATTGGGCAGGATGGGACTCTGCAGATCCCAGATTGTCCCATTCAATATCAGTCTAAGCAGTTATTGAACAATTGGTAGACAACTGATCTGCAGATAAGTGAATTCTACACACACACAACCATTTGTAGATAGATGGTCTATGTTCTGCATACATATGGCATTGAGCACTATATAGATACATGCCCTATACACTCATGGCAGGTTTATGTAAAGAGCTTTCATTAGATTGTATCATGGTGCTGTCCCCACAATGTTACATTCTACTACAAAAATAATAATCTGCCCTCATCCCAAAAACTGATCAACTCCAAACTGCCTTGATATCTCCACTTCAACAACAGAATATTATATATTGAACCTCTGAGTATCTTATTGGCGGGATGGACTAAATTGCATTTACATTGAGTATTGCACTAGTTAAATATATAATGTATATAACTATTTAACTTATATTTCAAATATCTCACTAACGGGAACCCAGCAATCCTGGATTGGATTCTATCTTAACAGAACAATATTCTCCTCACTGTATATTATTGATGTGAGATAAATGTACCTATCGAGACTCTGTTCTGTAAGACCTGGAGTAAAGTATCTCCAAAGATAAACTCCAATGAGATTGAAATCTTAATTATAAAGAATGAAATGGGATACTGGGAAATTGATACTGCCAACAATAAATTGAACCCTCTTTCTACACACTGGTCCTAAGCACCTTTCCAGATAAAACTATTGAGTGGGAAATTTGTAACCCTCTATTTTCAATCTCACACAAATAATACCCCTATACACCACAAAGACAAAGGATTAAGATACATTAGATTAGCATGTTACCATTTCTATATTGTTTTTCATTTAGACAGAAATACAAGTCTTTAAGAAAAGACCTAACAATCAAACTGACAAAGACATTGCAAAGGGTAATTCAGGAAAATATGTGGGATACATAGTAAATGGTAAACATTAACACAGAACTTACCGACTACAGATAATATGGTTCCCTCTCCAAATTCAAGCTTTGCATTACCACCATACACAGCCCTACAACAGTGTATTGAAACCTCTTCTTATGCCACCCCAAAATCTACTCACTTACCCAACACACTGAGCACAGTTCCGGCCCCAAAGTGTAAAGCTGAGGTTTGTGACACACTAAGAAATCTCTTACATTTAACTTGGAATTTACTCCACTATGGGAACATAGAGCAAAGCCATCCTACTGAACTGGACATCTACTATGTTTGTATCCAATAAATCCCAGACTTTCTGACTCAATAGCAATCTGACCATTTCCAGAATAGCAAACACCATCCTGGGAACATGTGAACTCCTCATACAATCAGCAGCCTATAGCTGCATGAGATATATGGCCTATATACATATGGCAGGTTTATGTAAAGACCTTACATTAGTTTGTATCATGGTGCTGTCCCCACAATGTTACATTCTACTACAAAAAGAACATTCTTCCCTCACTGCAAACTGTCCTGATACCTCCACTTCAGTAGACAGCTGTTACTTTACAAAGCTTTTCTTTACAAATGGCGATTTTAGCTTAATCTTATTGCTTTATCATATAACTAAAATAGAACCGTATAGCAGACCTCAAATACAGTATTTTAGTATTTTTATGTGACATGCTAATTAATACAATAATTGTGTGTGATTTCCTAGAGAAATTATTCCAGTTCAAAGAAACAATGTATGTGTAATTATGTCTAAATATTTATTTCCTTTTATATTGATGTTTGCTACCATACAGGCAATGTGTGTACCAGGGCACAATTAAATCCATGTTGGATTATTTTTTCTGTTAGGGATTTGCAGAAGTAAATTAACCAAACAAATATTTGTACACAATCTAAGCTCAAAAATCCTATGAGATAATATTTTATTCAGCATCTGAGCAGAACTTGTGACCAAGATCTTTCTCCACATGATAAAACCAATCATCTGGAGAAAGATCTCTGTACTGATTGTTTGTATTGATTGAGAACTTAAACCTATTCCTATGGCTTTATATAATTTCTAGAGATTTAATAGCTTAGCATATGTTTCCAGACTGGTTATCAAGTAACTCAAACAGAACATGTCACTCACTTACCTAAAACAGCCAAGATTGTGCCAGATCCAAAATATTGTCGTTCGTTGCTCACAGCCTCAAACCTCTATACTAAATCTCAATCTAACATCCAAATATTCTGCTATCTATTCATCTCATGTTTATCTGGCTTTTAGCAAATACGTAATAATAGCAGTTATTTATAAACTTAAAATTTTCTGAACTTTGTAGATTGCTGTATTTAATGTGAGATTAATGAATATGAATAATGCTTGTTATAGAATTTAAATAAACACATTTTCACTATTAAGCAAAACATATTTTATGTCATCATACCATCCTAGATATCTTGGGATATTTTTAACGAGCCCTTTTTATTTACTTACCCATAACATGAAGTAGAGAACCAGACCCAAAATATTGAGCATCGTATGAGCACAAAGTAACATGGCTGTACTAAAATGGAGGCACTAAGTCCCAGCAAAGGGGATTTGGTCATTATGTCCCATCCACGCCTAATTAAAAACAATATATCCAATAGAACCAGAACAGATGAAAGCAACTAGTTTGCAAATTGCACTAATACTCCTTAACCAAGCACAATTAACAGCTATGTTTACTGATCATCGAGCCTTGAATATACATCCTCAGACAGAGAGAGTTAATGTTAGATAATTAGAGATTTAAGCTATTCTGAATTATTCCAAAGTCTCCATTCCATTACTTACCTAGTACAGATAGCAATGTCCCTTCTCCAAAAGTCACAGCATAGCCCGAGCACAGCCAAATCGAGCTATACTAAATCCTAGTGATTATGTAACTAAATCCAACTAACTCTAGTTTTACAAAATGCCAGTTTAATTTGTCTGTACCACATGTCCTTCATACCTGCTGTATCCAAATCCAGTTGTTTTTATTTTCTTATTAACCTAACATATAAACATTGTATACCTTCTTTTAATGATAGTATATTTAGGATTTACCTAAGATTGACACACGGGTCCCATCTCCAAAAAATAGTTTGTCAGAGCCACAGCCATGAATGCTCATGTTAAAACACAGACATAATCTAACCCTGCAACATATTCACCTTTCTAGGGCAGTCTCCAGTTTTGGATCACCAAATTACTGCCCTATTAACTATCTTCCTCTAATCTGATATATTTTATTACCCTAACAAGGATTTAACGCTTTCAGTGCCCTGATGGTCCCCTGTCTCCAGTCACTATGTCCATATCTTACATTGATTGTACATCAATTGTGTCCTAATGATAATGTATTGATACAATAGATTACAATACTTCTGATGACAAAGCTGTTCTGTTGCCTAATAAGAACATTGGCAAACTATTGAAATGGTTAATGCAGCACTAAATAAATAACCAAATAACCAAAGTTCACTCACTACTCATTCCCCAGCTGGTAGAATATATAATGTACCCATGTGCTCCTCTGAGGTTCTCAACTTACCTAGAACATGAAGCAGGGTGCCTTCTCCAAAGTAGAGCTTATCCGTGCCATCACAGAGGTAGAACATGTGTGTAAAACCTACCCAATCCACTGTGGATGTATGATTCAAGGGTCATTTTTAGACAAATCATTTATGAACAAATCTTAGTCTATGCTCTGCCCAAAGGATCTGAACTGGTCCCCACCCAAGCCAAACTATAAATATGCAATAATGTCCATCACCCCCCAGTTTCAATATATTGGCAAATATTTTCACTCCTTTCTGAAAATTTAGATCGATGTCTTACCAAGTACTGAGACAACCGTTCCTGTGCCAAACTCCAACTTCTGGGCATTCCCAGAGCTCTACAGGTATATAAAAAGTCAGACTACATTTTGAACTTACTGTTTACTCACACTCACCTAAAACACTGAGTACTGTCCCAGCTCCGAAGTAAGCAGCAGAGTTGACACAAAGAGAAAGCCCTCTCAGAAAACCTCAGTAGCCCTTACTTCTACTCCTGTATTCTTATTGCAGATTTACCAAGAACGCCCAAGAGCAGTAGAGTTTAATCCCTTAAATCATAACAATATCCCCTATGCTGATGTGTAGCATTCATGAGTTAGGAAGTAAGCGGAAAATTGCCCTTCATAGGAAACATATAGAAAGTATATTAATGTAACAGTACATATTTAATATGACCTTTACCGATAATTTAGTAAAGATAATACCTACCAATAACAGCCAGGGTCGTTCCTTCTCCAAAGTAAGCTTGGTAATTGCACACAGAGGAATCATGAGTCAAGAACTCCCAATTTGAAGTACAGCAGTCAGCTAAGGAGATATCCTAATATATCTGCCTTAGAGAATAAATGCCCCAAAGTATAAGATATATCTTTCTTTTTTCTGATGAGGTGAGTAGATAAATGATACTAAGTACTGGAAGATAATTATAAGAAGAAGTAAAACACCCTACAGGTATTCAGAGTATTTTTAACTATCATTTTAAATATATTGAAGTGGTTATGTTTCTCTACCATCACCCTGGTATTATTTCCCTGCTTGCAGGACTTGTGGTTACATAATTAATACTATACTCTTTTCCTACAGAGGAATACTGGGTAATATTATATATCTAATAGGTTCTTCATTTGATTCACTTTACTTTGCTTTTAAATATCGGGATGCTTTTAAATATAGGAATTTAAGGATTTGGAAGTAGTGGTAAAAAGCGTGAAATATTTTGGCACTTACCTATAATGATTTGCATGATTCTCTTTCTAAATTAGCAGCTGTTTTGCATTAACAAAAGTGACAATTCCTTGAGGGGAAATAACCAAATCCAGCCAAAGTGATATTTACCTTACCCCAAAACAGAAATAACATCATCTTCAAATACTATGTCTATCCTTTACATTTTACTGAACTCTTATATATTTTACTTTAAATTTAAAACAGTTTGAAAGCATAAAATGTGTCCTTTCCATTCCAGGATATGCAAGATTAATAGGGTATATAAAAATAAATGCCATTTCCATTAGTATATATATGGTATATTAATTCTTCAAGTCACGTCTATGTCCATGCAAGCCTGCAGTCATGGTTGTATGTTTTCAATAAAGCCATTTGAAGTCTCATAGAAGGTTTTTGTAAAGGCATCCTATAGGATTGTATCACAGTGCCCCCTGTCCCCACAATGTTACAATCTAATACAAAAAGATTTGACTAGGCACCACCTGCACTGCAAAAAGAACAAAATACCTTGCAGTTTTTCTCTTCATCCTTAGGTGGCAGTGTTGTTTAGACAGCTTGAACGGAAATATGATACTTATCCACAGAAAAAGCCATCTGAAGACTTACTATTTATATTTGGCTAAATGCTTTATAATCTGGTTGTCGAGTGTAACATCACAAATCTACAATTGTAATATGTTTAGAGAGATGAGTTCTAAATTTGATTGATGTAATTCTCTTGACAAATCAATCTAATCATATTCTTTCAAGGAATGATAGAATACAGACTTTTGCTAAATTATCCATCATGTTGTATCATCCAGAACATGTAGCAACTGCAATGCCAGTCGTGTGGCCGGAGGACTTTAGGTTTACCCTGTTGTTTTGTGTATGACGTAGAATGAACACACCCCTTGTCTTTCTTCCATGATGCCAAAAGTGATGCCATCCCTTTTGCTGAATCCAATGTTAAAATAATGCTTTTCACCTTGTTAGTACATAGCTATACTCAGCAAAGAACTTGTTGAAGATCCAATGTGTATATGTTGTTTTCAGTCACTAACCTTGTCCAGTTTAGTCTCCAGTTTACTTGTTTCTTCTTAATTCTGTGTTGAAGTTCATAGTTTTCCTTAATGCCTTATTAGTGAGATTCTTCTTAAAGACACATATATGAGAAGGCAACATAAGCAAGAGAGAGATAGCCAGTCTAAAGCACAAGACGTTATGGCTAGAAATTACGTTAGGTGCTGGTTAGATCGGTTATATGAACATATAGTATACATTAAATTATTACAAGTCAAGCTTGGGAACTTGGCAGACTGCAGGTCTCTTGTGTCTACCAGTATCTACTAGATAGACTTTTCCATATCATGCAACAGAAATATTAACCTTTACCATCAAAAAACCTTTGCTTGTTTCCTGTCTTGCTATCTCACTTTCCCAGAAGGAACCTCACGCAAGTAGCAGCCTCAAGTCGACCACATCTGCTTCCTAGAAAACCACTCTTAGACAGAGATAGTAACAGGAGAAAGTAAAAGGAGAAAGGGGAGGGAAGAATGGGGGGAATGTGGTTCTGAGTGATGATACATTTTTAACATCCTATAATCTACCAGCCGGAAACCTTTGCTTGTAGATGTTCTCTTTATGATTTTACAGTTGTGAAGGAAACTTAGCTTTGCTGCGACAATAAATCACTTGATTGCAGGAGAACTTCACATACAACTGGTGGAGTAAACCATGTATCATTTTTACTGTTCCCACGGTGCTTGAGTTATCTGTCAATTCTTTCTTTCTTTCTTCTTTCTTTCTTTCTTTCTTTCTTTCTTTCTTTCTTTCTTGTTAGCCCCTTGAAAATGAAAATATTCTCTTTTATTCCAGAAGCTGTGTCCTTAAGGAATTTGCCCTCACCATACAAAGAATCTATACTATTTACATATTTGACTAATCCCACAAATAAATAAGACTTAGATCCTAGATGCTGGCAAGTCACTTTGCACAATAGATACAGTACCCCAGAGAATCGTCATGGCCTTAATTTGGTGGGGATGATGACTCTCTATCTAAATATTCCTCTAAACATATATTTAGTTACTTTCATTTTCTCCTGACTTTATTGTTCCCCATTGTACAGCGCTACGGAATTTGATGGCGCTATATAAATAATAAAACAATAATAATAATAATTGTTAGTATGGCAATCACAGAGAAAACATTGCAGCCTTCCTGCCCTGAATATCTTTCAGACCTCGCCTTCATTAAAAATAAAAATAACAACTAGTATTTATATAGCACATTTTTCCCAGTGGGAAGCTAAGCACTTTTCAGCACACGTTCTCAGAATTAACCAAATCGGCAGCTGAACAGTAACAGGTCTTATTATTACACAATGTAATGGTACTCATTTTATCAACCTTGAAAGGATGAAGGGCTAAGTTGACCCTGCTGGCATTTTCACAGGCTTTGTAGTCAGGGAAGTTACCAACTGTGCTACCTCACCAGCATAGCACCATCCGACATTTTCCTAAACACCAGAAGAGTGCATAAAATTGCATATCTGGAGAAGAAGAAAACATGTACCTACTGTATGTCAATATCATCCACAGTCCCTGCTAACACTCTCTTTCCTGCAAGGTGTTCAAGCAGTTGAAATACAGTGTATTTTGTTTCTTGTGATGCATAATGATCTCATTAGTAAAACAAACTTAAAAAATAATAAATTTAGTCAAAGAATATTGTACAGTAAGTGGACAGCAAAACAAAGCAAATTAAATGTAAAAAAAAAAAAATAACATGCTTTCCTACGGAAGTTTTTCCTTATCTGCTCAGATAGCCACATGTCAGTTCCCATGAAAATGCTAGAACCTATTCAAAGTCACATTACTAACACCTGGTCCTGTACACAATTATTTACTGTTACCTCTCCGCCAATTCAAGATATGACCATGAATTTATCACTGGATACGTGGGCTTCATCCTTTAACCCTTACAGTAACATCAATCTCCTGTTTAACCATTAATTAATCACCTGAAAAGTCCTTTCTTGCTCAGCATTAAAACAGCTGAGTAAATGGTTGGTATGCTAGCCCAACATTTCACATAAATATACGTCCATTGCAATGCTGCTGAATGAAGATCATTTAAGGGATAGTTTGTTATATAATACCATCCAACACAATCAAAATAGTTATATGAACAACAACAAAAAACATCCATATTACAATAAAAATGTATTTTACTGCAGAAATCACTTTATCATTTAGCCTTAGAGTGTCAGAGTAGGGATTGATGAATTTTAAGTCGCTCAAATAACGGAAAGGGTTAATGTGCGTCTCCTGCTATATGACAAAGAATTTTTTTATTTTATCTCCAGCTAATATATCTACATGATAACATTTTCTCCCATAGCGCCATTCCATATCCTTTGCTAGAATAACACTTAAAGGGCATCATGAGGATTTTATGCTACATAAATCAGTGCTACTACTAATTATAATGCTGTAGGTTGTTATTTCGAAAATAACTAGGAATGTCCACAACAGGGGTAGGCAACCTTCAGCACTGTTGTGGACTACTTCTCCTATAATGGTCTTACAATCATAATGCTTTCATAGCATCAAAGGGTTTGTAGTCCACAACATCTGCAGTGAAAGGTTGCCTACCCCTAGTCTAAAACATCTTTATAAAATAATTTAGCATTAAACCACTAGATGGCAGACTCTGTCAAACAGTAGCTGCTAAATAGCAGACAGTATAGATTTAGCAAAAAGCACCATTTGGCTTAACTATCAATAGCCCGAAAAAAAAACTAAAATACTTTTACGTAAAATCTGGATACATTCTTCAACTCTATATAGTTTTCTATCTTGACTATCTTTGTCTAAAAAGTTAAAGTTCCCAGGGAGCTCCTGCCAGCATAACTCTTAATCTTACCCGAATCGAACAAAATAGCAGCAGAGTACCCAGAAACCAGCACAACGGACACAACTACCGACGGGGACACCGAGATCTCCCAAAACCTGTGATATAGACACTCTGAGTCTGCTTTCTAGCCGGGTGGCCTACTCAGACTGCGGACTCAATGCCTGGGTCCCCACTGGACACACTAATGAAAAGCCTGAAATCAACAGTACCCAAAGACCACGTGGCTGATCTAATATGGCTGCTGCATCAAGGCCCTCACAGCAGACAGCCAGCCCAGAGAGCCGGGAATGGATGCAGTGCTTCGAAACCAACTTTTATAAGGTGTGCAGTGACTTCTGGGCCCGGATAGGCACACATTCCCATACACCCACCTCACCTGTCCACAACTACCATGGGACACGGGGGCCCCCCACTGCGGGCATTCTCAGCTGAGACACGAGGGGTGAAATACAAAAGCGAAGCCAGCAGGGAGAGCACAGAGGTGGGTGCCTTGTAAAGGGCATCGCCACAAAAGATCTGGGCACCCAGTGAAATACCACCTGCATGGGCCACAAAACAGCAAGAAAGGTCCGCACACAACTCGCTCACACCAGCTGGGGGCACTCACAAATCGTGACAAGAACACGCCTGGTTGCAGATACCGGACTCAGGTCCTGTAAGCGACTCACTGAGAGATGTATGAATCGATTGGGTGGGACTGAAGCTCAAATACTGCAATTTAGCCATAACTGTGACACAAGCTGACATCACTCTCCTACTCATTGCCTGACACAGTGGTATTTGTTTCTACTGTTTTTTTAAACGTTTAAGTTTCTAACCAGTGGCAAAACGACATGTTATTCTCTGCCTAGTGGTCATGTTATTTTATGTTATACTATTAAACCTAACAATAGGTCAGTTACCTAGCCTGCTTACATTGATGCTTATACTACCATACCTACTGACATTATATATATATATATATATATATATATATATATATATCCATATAGCAAAGGTGACCAGCACTCACGGATTCATTAATAGGTTAAAACATCCATAGTTTAATGAAAAATAAAAAATATTGTTGACAGCTCAACGTTTCAGTCCTCCTCTGGGACTTTCATCAGGAACAACAAGTCCCAGAGGAGGACTGAAAGTCCCAGAGGAGGACTGAAACATTGAGCTGTCAACAATCTTTTTTATTTTTCATTAAACTTTGGATGTTTTAACCTATTTGCTATACTCCAAGCACCCGGTATGTAACCTTGGAGTCTGAGTATAGGCTGTCATGGCATCACAGGCCTGTTGTAAACCCTTTGCACAACTAAAATAAAGAATTTTTACAATTTTTTAAAAAGTTAATGTTCCCTTTGTCGGTTTTCCAAAATCTTCTGAGAATAAATACTGCAATTTAATGAATTGCATACTACTTATTTTTAGATGTATTGTTTAGGTATTTTATTATGAGGCACAAAACCAGAGATTATTATTTTATATATTTAGTGCTGACTTTTCAAATGATAATCAGAAAAAAAGGTGTTTTTTTTTTAAATCAAAATAATTTCTTGTAGACCTGTGCAGAAATGCATTGTGTGTTTGTGTCTGCGTGAATTGGCTTACACGGGTATCACTCTGTTTGTGCACAAATGCATTTCAGCTGGTTTGAAGGAATCATATTTGTTTTAATTGTAGCTTGAATAAATTGACCCATCTAGGATTTACCTGCAGAGTCTTACGGAATGAATAGGGCTACACAGCTGAATCCCTGACTGATCAATTAATTCAGCCATAGATTAAAAGAAATTTAATTCATTTCACCCGGCTGAAATACATTTATGCACAAGTCTACTTTGTTTGGAAACATAAACCAAGAAAGTTATGGTGGGGAAAAATTGTGATTGAAAACCCCTTCTATTTGAAGTCAGTGGATAGTCAATACATTGTTAAACACAGATCTACACACCAGTCAAGCCATAAAACTTGCTTTTCACACAGAAATCTGACATATGCAGTGATGTTACTACTGCAAAGGATTCTGGGTAGACATATGCAAATTAGGCCAACAAAGAATCACAGTTTTGCCTCATTATTCCATTTTAAACATGGATTCTTTGGAGTTTGTGTTTGTTGTATACAACAGCTTTGAAACACAACTCAGGAAGAAATGCAAAGCCAGTGAACCACTCGTGGACAGCTGTTTCATTGTTAATGCAACTCATCAGCATGAGGTTGGTTGCAGGCTTGCTATCGAGGCTTGGAAACAGCAGTTATAACAAAATGATCTTTACTTTGATGCTGTGACAAGCTCATTTGTATTCATAATATGACAGAAACCACTTCTACCTAGAGTGATATTTATGGCCACATGAGGACTTTGAGTTCTATATAATCCTTAGAGTGTGGTATAACGTTAATGGGGTGTGGAGTGTTATACTAATACAATTAGGATTAAGAATATATGAGAAGATAGTTAACATTCTAGATCAGTGTTATACATTGTGTAAGGTAGAGAGCTGTAAATCATATAGAAGCACTGAAAGTTTATTAGCAAAATGCAAACGCTATAAAATCAATAGCATAACATTATTATAATGATCTATAGGTATTTATGTAGGTTAGAGACAGAATTAATTAAATTCGCCATATGAACTCTGATCGTAAAGATCCGCCAACCTTTGTAACTAGAAACAATAAGTTATGATCACCCTGTTCTTAGACACACTTTATGGATCTTTTAGATTTGTCACAGTAAATTACATATACTATTTAAGAGTTAATGCACAATAAATGATTTTAAATACATGTTTTAGAATGTGGTTCATTTATTTCAAAGAATATTCCATTTAGTATTTAGAGACAGTTTGATTGATCCAGTCAGTATAATTACACACTTTGGTGTAAACGCCTGGGTATCCAGGCAGGGCACAGCCAATGCCCCAAGATACCACACCTTGCAAGACGCCATTGCAAACCACTGGGCCACCAGAATCACCCTGGAAAATAAAGAAGTAATTTAAATGGGCATTCTTTTATTCTTTTTTTCCCCACAAATGTTCAATTATATCCACAAATTAATTAACAATAAGCCTGTCACAATATATCCACAGAGTTTGTGTATATTTACATATATATTGATTGCAAGTTCAGTTGTAGTACATAAGTAGTGTTAAACAGTCTCCTATTGTATCTAGGCTGGCTCAGCTAGCGTCTTATGGAAAAGATACTGTAACTTTTACGAACCATTTACACATAGTTACAGTCTTGCAGCCCATTCAATGCTCTGGTATCACATGCACTTTAATGATTTAATATTCATTTTCTATAAATTATATTTTTAGGAAGTAATAAAATGACTGCCACGGATTTTGTTTGTAAGCTACCAATGAATAACAACTTTATAATGTAATTAAGCTCTCTCAGCATTTTTTTTTTCACTTCCGGACAACTACACCATGGAAGAAAGGTACAATATTTGAGGCAACATTTGGATTGACTGAAAGTCAATATTCCAACACCATTTATTACATGTTTGGAGTATTAGTATTTATAGAGCACATGTTTATAATTATAAAAAACAATTTGTTTCATTACAAGACAACATGATATGTAACCTAATATATTCCCAAATTTTAATGAAATAGAATAGTGATAAAGGATATATTTCCTACGTTTTACCCAATATATCTTATAGACTCCAATTTTTCCATTTGGCTGCATTTTTAACATTAATGAATTAGGAAGAATTGCCATAAATTGCAGATGTTGGATGTATCTCCATCTTACTTTTTGGGTATGTGTTGTTGGTGGTACTAAGTCATTTAAGGGATAACAGTTTTTTTTTGTGTATGCATAAACCATGCAATACTTTAGGTTCTATTCTTAAAGTTTGTAGATATCTAGAAGGGCACTGTAAAATAGAGGCTAGCCTACTGGAGCCAGACTTTTAATTAAGAGTTGTTCCTCTTTGACTACTGGGCCATCTTTTTTTTGCAGCCAGAGTAAATGGCTTAACTTATTCTTTTATCTCTGCATTGTTTATAATATCACAAAGCTTTCATCCATTGCATTATTTAGAATTTATATATCTCCTTTTCCATACAATGTTTTTTTGTACAATTATTTTTTCGTTTTTCTGTATTGCAATGCTTACATGATTAGAAAAAGAAAAGTAATGGCTTTGCTAAGAACAACCGACAAATATTCATTTTGAATATTACAATTAAAATTACCATATGTTCTGCCTATAACAAGTTATAAATAACTGATTGCTAATTTGTAAATACTGATTCAAATAATGCATTCGCTATCCAACATATAAATTATGTGATAAAATTCTCCAGAAAAAGGTAAAAGATTTGTTACCTGGCACGAATCCTTGCCTCCCTCCAGATACCCAACACAGATCATGTTCTCAGTGATTTCCCCTGGATAGGCATCGTGGCACTGCTGATCAGTGAGAATAGGTGCATCCAGACATTGCAGCAGGTCAGGATAATTAGCTGTAGGAAAAAAAAACATCAATGGTGATCTGAAGCACTGAGTTACATGTATCATTCTAAGTTACAGCTTTCTTTAATTCCTTCAAGCTAGAATTTTCACCCCGCTTCTTAAAGGACCACTATAGTGCCAGGAAAACATACTCGTTTTCCTGGCACTAATGTGACCTGAGGGTGCCCCCACCCTCAGGGTCCCCCTCCCGCTGGGTCTGGGGGGAGGAAGGGGTTAAACTTACCTCTTTCTCAGCGCCAGGCGGGGAGCTCTCCTCCTCCTCTCCTCCCTCTTCTTCTGTCACCGGCTGAATGCGCATGCGCGGCAAGAGTAGCGCGCGCATTCAGCCAGTCCATAAAAAAGCATTCACAAGGTTTTCCTATGGACGCTGGCGTCTTCTCACTGTGAAAATCACAGTGCGGAAGCCCTCTAGCAGCTGTCAATGAGGCAGCCACTAGAGGCTGAATTAACCCTATTATAAACATAGCAGGTTCTCTGAAACTGCTATATTTATTTAAAAAAAGGGTTAAACCTAGCTGGACCTTGCACCCAGACCACTTCATTAAGCTGAAGTGGTCTGGGTGCCTATAGTGGTCCTTTAAGGAGCATCCTATATGACATCCTTAGTTCCATCATGATAAAATTGAATGTGCTAATTTTGTGATAGCTCACTTATTCAACACTGACTTGTGTTCTTTAATGCCAGTATAAAAATGGCAGAATTGCAGAATCATTGGTCATTTTAATTTTGTATAATACAATATAACTATCAGGGTTATTCACTAAAGCGAGAATTCAAAGTGAATTGAAAGTAAATTTCACATTTAAGGTCAAAATAGCTGAAAAGAAAAATTATCTAATTGAACTATGCTTTTAATTTGGTTATTCTGACCCTAAATTTTAAATGCTCAAGAATTCAATTCTTTGAATTCTTACTTTATTAAATAACCCTGAATATTCCAGAGAGGTTTAAACTACTTTGATGTCTGGTGTTTTTAGTACATACAATTTTGTACTCACCTCCATTGCTCAGAGTGTTCCCCCAGCCAGAAATGAGACACATTTCCCCAGGAGATTCACAGTGGGATGGCAGAGGGATAGGCTGGACCATGGAATTAATCCTGGCTGGTTTTTTAAGACGTATTAACATGATATCATTATCCAGAATGCCTGGGTCATAATTGGGATGAGGAATTAGTTTAGAAGCTTTAATGAATTGTTCAGATCCTTGCAGCACTTTAATATTGTGTTCCCCCAGTCTGAGCTCGGTACGACTAAAATGTAGAGATTCAAATTTCAGCCAGGTTAGAATTTGGTTAAAAAAAAAAGAAAAAAAAAGTATATATATATATATAAAACACACATTTTTACCTATTACCTATTATCTAAATTCATTGTTATCTATAAACCATGTATGTGCTATAAATATTTTACTCATATAGTATTTTTTTGTTATTTTAGGAGATATATGCTTTGTTTCTCTCAGTTACCATAATTAATAATGGTAAAGTATAGTTATTTTATCATAATGAGTTTCATTGTCTTACTTACGATTGGTAACAATGAGCGGCAGACACAACCCACAGGGTATTTATCAGGGAGCCTCCACAGAAATGGTAACCGATATGCAGTGACACCTGATAAGGTACCTTGTACTCAGGACAGGTGTAACCTCCGACAATCTTGTCATTATCATCGACAGGCAGAGCCACTGTAGAAGACACATTAATGCAGGTGATAGGCTGGTCAACTAAGTCAGGTATCAATCAAAATTAACTTACTATATCTGAAATCTAACTTGCAGTTTTTATGACTAGTTAATAAAGATTTTTTTTGTATCAAGCTTTGTCAAAAGATAATCGAAGATTTATAAATAAAATACAATGAAGACTATATATCTACCAGAGAGCCCCAGGAGAGAAAGCAGGAGAAGGCACTTCATTTTGAAAATGTTAGAACTTTCTAGAGTCAGCAATTTATACCCCTATTCTTGCCTCTCTTGCCAAACACCACATGTCAATTTACATCAATGTCTTATCAAGTCAAGCTCATAAAAGGCTCTAACTGGAGGAAGTTGTTTGGCACTCCGCCTGGGTTTCCATTGACCGTATCAGTTGTTTCATTCCTGCAGCTATTTCATTATATGCATATTACTTGTGTTACCTTTGTCTTTGTGATTCCTTTAATAACTTTTGGATACAGTATCTTTTATACTCATTTAAATTCAGTGATTATTTTAAATTGTGTTAAATATGTAACTAGATATTCTCCATCCACTTACCTTTGACAATGTTCTAAACCTTTACAGAATTGAAATGAACAATCCATTGCCTAAAACAAACTATAAAAATCACTGTTTAATAAAAATATCCCCAATGAAAACATGCATGCATATATTTCTGCTTTTTATTCTTTGGGTATATATCTAAAAACAGATGAAAACAAAATACCAAGGGGAGACTCGGAGGTTAAGACTGTTTAAGCCTCATGAGTCTGCCCTATAGAGTTAGGAGAGCAACCCATGGATAAAACTTAACTTTTAATAGGTATAATAAAATCCCAACAAATGTGGGAAAGAGAAGCAATTACAAATCCCAATAAGTGCTAACTCATGTGGATACAAAAACCAAAGAATAAATGTTGCTGAAAACAAGGGGGGAGGAAGGAGAAAATAAATTTAAAAAATAGAACCTATCTGCAAATTAGTAGGTAATGGGTTAACGAGGAAAGGTAGGATTATGGATAGAGGGAGGACTAAAATCTAGTCCCAAAGCTATACCCTAGCTGCCTTGGAGGGCCCCCTTAAAAAAGTCTTATTCTCCAAGCCTCCCAAGATCGCAAAACACGTATATCAAAGCGTAAAGCAAAAAACCTAATCCCGCTAGCCCCCAACAACACAAAGATAAATAATAAACGTAATTCTAAAATATTGATCTTATTCTAAAATCATAGTGTGGTGGCTTGTCCTTGTCTTAAGAAATAGCTGCAGCATCATCCCTAATCATAATACCTAACCACTGCTGACCTAGTCCCGACGCACATTTCGCCAAGTGCTGGCTCTTCATCTATCTTTATTTACAGGGGTTACCCCCCAGTCTTAGTAGCAACCTGACATATCCTCCCTGCTTATATCTATTAAAATATCTAAAAACAGCATACAAAACCTGTAGATCTGTTGTCTGTATCGTGTGAAAGCACTCCCCTTTATTCCAAGCACAGACATTTGGAAAATAATCCAATCAGAGAAAACCCTCTGTGCTGAAGCATGCATGCTTGCATGCACATACTTGATTGTGGCTTTCAAATGCTTCTCAGTGAGCTTTCTATGAAGGGGTAAGGCAGGCTCAAACTGTGGAGCTAACAGATGTGGAAGAAAACCTCCCTGTATGTCTGACTGACAGCCAAAGAACAGATTCTGTCTCCAGTTATAAACATTTCTATTGAAATTGGCCCTTTCACAATTGGTCTATTAGACTTCCAGTCCAGTAGGGTATATTGCCTAAATGCTGAGTTCTTGTCATCTGGCAGGTGTATTACAAAATGTAGGTCAAAACTGTTGGAAAAATAGATGATTTTGAGAACTTTTGCATCTTAACTATTTTGGCCTAGATATAAAGTTATTTTACAAAAAAAATTAAAAAAAGGTCAGAGTATACAAACTGCAATTATAGCTTATTTTTCCAGTTTGGCTGTTTTGACCTTAAATTTGAAATAAACTTTTAATTTTCATTTTAGTGAATAACCCTCATAGTATTTCCATTTTGAATTCAGTAGTTATTTAATTAGCCCCTGTTCTTTCAATCCTCCCATTTCAAGATTGGTTGCATTCTTTCCTTATAACCCTCCAAATACTTTGTTTTCTAAATATACATATAGCACACATACTATTTAAAGATCATGAAGATATTTCTTGACACAGTGTTTAGTAGAACTTCTAACTTTGAACTCTGTTCAATCTGTATTTGATCTTGTAATGCTCAAATATTTGTTAATAGATTATTTTTAGTGGGGAGTTATCATGTGGTTTATAAAAAGTGGAAACACACATATGTTACAGAAGCAAACAACTGAATAAAATTCAGTGCAAAATACAATTGGCATAAAATATATAACTGGAAGCAAAGCAAGTCCTATGTTATGAGAAAAAAAAATTTTGTTTGAAAAATATTAGGATAACATTTATTTAAAACGTGGCAATCATCATTAGCAATTTTGTGTACCGATTACTATTCAGGCAAATTTTAAAATTTAATTTACACATTTTTTATTTATTTGGTTTGGAAATAAAACTTTAGATCATATACAGTGTCCCTTATCTTGTAATATATCAGGGTCTGAAATGGTAATAAAAAAAATAAAAAAACATTTTACATTGCAATAAATGCTCTGTTTATAGGTATTTTTTAATAACCCTGAAGGTAGTATTGACAGCAATGTTTGCTAAAATAGCAATAGAATTTAAAAAGAATGTCTGTGTTTCAACATTATGTCCATTTTAATTGCTTGGAATTTGGATGTGCTGTATATTTGGAGACATGATGAGCTTAGCATAATCTTGTGTCCCAAAATCTACCAAAAATACATAATTTTCAATGCATTTTTGACATATATTATAATTAAATCACTTTTATTAGAAGAATAAATAAAACATTGAAAATGTTACTGCAAATCAGGAGAAGAAACAGTAATATTTGTTTCATGTCTGCTCTTTTTTTATCTATGCTTACTGCCAGGCGCAAAGGGCAGAGCTTATAAAGATGGCTTGCAAGGAGGTAAGATGGAGTCACCCATGCGGGATAAAGAGGTGTTGATATCTACTTATTGCTATTTATTTTTACATTAATTTTTTGTTTTTCCCCATCTCACAAATACATATTTGTTAAAAACAGGGGGAAATATTAAAAATCCTAGGAAGTTTCCCCACAGTGCCATGTCAAAACACAGTGGATTACTACTTTTGCAAGGTGAAAAAAAATGTCCTCTGTTTGTCACTTATCACTTGATCTGTGATTAAAATCAGCATTGATAATGGTCCCCTGGACACCAATTATATTTTTTACCATCAATCATCTGTTTTATTTTTATTTTCTGTTTTTATACCACGTGCAGAAATCTGGATCTAGAATCAAAATAAACATGCTCGTCTATTGCTCAAGTAATTTGTTTTTGTGATTATTTTATAGCGAGGTTCAGAAATCAGGTTTTCATACGACCTTCTGATCAGCCCAAATTCGGACAAAGTTTTATCAGTTCATAACAAAACAAAAAGACTACTTTTTACGTACTGTAGTCATTTTTTCAGCAGCCCAATTAATGGTATGTATGTTGTTCAGAGTAACAATCATCTTTCTAATAATTCTTATGTATATATTGACTGGTGTTCATGATTTAGCACACACATGCACACCCACAATGTCTTCTGGAACAACTGGACTTCTAAACACATTGTATGGTTTGTATTATTCTGTGCACCTATAAACCTGGAATTCCACCACTGACCTGGTTTGCAATGATATCCCCAGACCAAAACTTAAATCTCCTTTGAAATCCTAATCATAATCTGACCTTCAAGTTATTATTATTATCATTTATGTAGACCTAAAATGTTCCATATTGCTTTCAATTCATAATTTATCAGAGCTCTTATATAGGTTTGTGTCTGCATTTCTTGGATAAAACTTTTTGATATCAATGTTTTTAAAATTATATGTTTGGTTTCTGACAATGAAGGCAGTAACAACATTGAATTCTCTGCCAAAAGAAGTTGTCTTGATTTATACAGAAATTACTTAATAATTTTTTATTAGCTCTGCTGATTTTTGATAGAATTTTGCTGTTCTCTCAATATGATTGACCCAACCACGAAGCTACAGGTATGTCCATTCCATATTTTGTAATGTATGATAAAAAAAAGAGACATCAGATTTGTTTGCTAATTTATTGAGTTTCTCCTGTATGCCATAATTACATATAGATGACCTTTTCCAGAATATTTAGTAGTTGGCGATGGTCTCCTCAATCCAGCCAATGTAGTTGCACACCTTAGCATAAACGCCTGGATACCCAGATAAAGCACAGCCTCTACCCCAAGATACCACTCCTTGCAGCTCTCCATTGCAAACCACTGGGCCACCTGAGTCACCCTGGGAAATAAATTAGGAAACATGTCAATTTTTTACATTATGGAATATTAAGCTTTGTGTTTATCATCTGTCTAGGTAATAAAACCCAACTTTCTGGGTTTTGTTTTGTCTCTGGTTATATTGGTCATTGTTTTCAAATGTATCTATTTATGTTGTATGTCATACTTGCTATTTTATATCCTATTAAAAAACTTCTGTACTTCTTTCCTTTGTCTAAATAACATATATTATGATATATTTATTATATATTTATTTAGACAAAATGTTATAATAAGCATATTATTTAGACATTGGAATGAAGCTTTCTTGTTTTTAATAATTACAGTCCCACACATTACAGTCCTTATCGCCCTGCACAGATTGCAGTCCGCACACATCAGCAAGCAGATGAAATTATTTCTGGGGCATATAAATGACTTTGGATCATGTTAGAATTATGTGTCATTCTTCCACTTCCAATGCAGTATTCCTCTCTTTCAATGTACCCTATTGGTTCCCAGTTGTGTCCAAGAAATTGTTAGTTTATTTGTAGATATTTTTTGCTAAACAACGAAATGCTGAATATTGGATTGTATATGGTATCCCTTCTTATTTTATATTTGAGACATGTGTGATTGCTATGAAGTCTTACTTAATTCCCACCAATGATGATTATTATTCTAGATAGTAAGGTAATACTATCATCATATTGTCCCTTTATGAAATTATATACTATTTTGGAGTAACACTATACAATCAGTGCCCTAACCAATCTGAGGATTTTTCTTTTGGCTATTCTTTGTTACCTGGCAGGAATCCTTTCCTCCTTCGAGATAACCCACACAGATCATATTCTGGGTGATTTGTCCTGGATAAGCTTCACGGCACTGCTGGTCGGTGAGAATAGGAGCATCCAAACATTGCAAAAGGTCGGGATAATTTGCTAAAAAAAAAAAAAAAAAAAGACTGAATCCCAGAAGGGAAATAGATCATATAACATTTTCATGCTAAGCCAAAATAACTTTCTATTGTTCTGGTGAAGTCATGGAGCACAACGTTCATTACCATTTATTTAAAGTAACTTTTTCTGTGTGTTAACTTTTTGTACTGTCACCTTACATTACAGTGCTGCACCCCAAAATGGTGCTTTATTAAATAATAAATAATGATAACCTGAATATGTTATAGGGTTACTCCAAACAAAAGTACAGTGTTTCATAAAAGATTGGTTAGAGTAACCCTTGCAGTGTTGGTCCACCCACACTAATTAAAAAAAACAAAACAACACTTCTGGCCACAGAGGGGTTGCATTCTGTATGTGCACTATTTCATAGCAAAATGCCAAACATTAATCCTCCAGGCACCATGACCATTTAAAATGCTTGGAGTAAACGTAATTTTTTTAGATTGCTAAGAGAAAGTAAAGAGAATCTCAGACTGCTAGATACTCACATCCGTAGCTCAGAGTGTTTCCCCATCCAGAGATGAGACATTGTGTTCCGGCTGGAGCACAGGCTGTAGGCAGACGGATTTGCTGTACACGGCTGTTCAGTTTGGCGGGCTCTGACAGTCGGATTAACATGATGTCATTGTCAATCATATAGGAATTGTAATTTGGGTGGCGGATAACCTTTTCAGATTTGATAAATTGTTCATTTCCCTCGATCACTTCAATGTTATGTTCTCCAAGTCTGACTTCAATGCGTCTGCAAGTGATCAAGAAGGTGCCGGTTAACATAGATGTATATACTAAATATATGATAAATATTTATAAACATTTATTACTAATTTGTTTAATCTGAATGTCCATACTATATTAACAACAATCTACCACCCTTAAGATGTACGCCAAGAAAATAATTCTGTTTCCTCCCTGCTCTTTCCATTCACTCTCTTATCAGACTGTGGGCTATGAGGGCAGGGACAACAAAACATCTAAATTTACTGTCAAGCTAGTATCACAAGGCTACCCTTTTTATCTAGAGAAAACCTACATTGGCATCAGTGTTTATTTTGTCGACTAACAATTTTAGTCAAATTTAGGTCGACTAAGATTTTTGAGATGTAAAGCGCTGCGGAATTTGATGGTGCTTTATAAATAATAACATAATAAAAATAATAATATTAAAACTAGGCTAAAACTAAAATAATTCAGATGACTAAAATACGACTAAAATTAAAATGGCTTTTTAGTCAAAAGACTATGACTAAAACTAAATTGAAATTTGCTGCCAAAATTAACACTGATTGTCATCATGGTAATCACAGTCTAATAGTATGATACGAAAAATCTACAAAATCAGCAAACATGTTACAAAGAAATAATGGCCTCCTAAGTTTCTCTCTTACCAGTTTAGAACCAAACGATTATAACTGAGAGTGTTTGAGTTTTTTTTATTATTTTCCAATAATGTTTTGGACTAATTACCACTTTTTTACATCTACATTACTTACGATTGGTAGCAGTGAGCAGCAGAGACCACCCAGTGATCATTAATCAGAGACCCTCCACAGAAGTGGTAGCCAACATTCAGAGACACGATGTATGGAACGGAATTTTCAGGGCAGGTATAGCCTCCTACGATCTTATCATCATCCAAGGGGAATGCGGCTGTAGAAATGCAACATGATTAGCTGTGTCAATGGAATGTGAGGATATGACTAGACCGGTTTGATAAAACTGTCCCATTTTTTTCAAAATTTTAGAAAAAAGGAACTTGTAAACTTTATAATTTATAAATGTATAATTTAGATTTAAGGAATTATTTAAAAATCTACATTTATAAATTTTAAATAGTGAAGCAGTTAGAACTCTTTCAATAACTCAGCAATCCTTAATGGCTTATTTATTAATAAGTGTTAATAAATTTTAATTGTGCAAATAATTGGTAATGATGTAAGCATAAATGTCCTGTGTATATTACATGGTGGTAATTGGGGAATTAGTAGTAATACATGATGGAAATTGTTAATGTGAAGCATTACATTAAGGTGATAGGGGAATTGGAAAAAATTGTGGTAATAGGAGAATAAGTGGTGATAGGTGGAAATAAATGGTGGTCATTGGCCGATAACTGGTGATACATTGCAGAGAGTACCTATTACTGTCAGTAGAGATTGTAAGATAATATGTACTGGTTTAAATTTAATAGTAGTGTGTTTATAGTGATAGTAAGTGCTGCTTGTAAGGAAATGTGGCAAAATGTGGTAATAAGCAGTAATAAGTGATATTTATTATTATTATTAATATTTCTAAAGCGCCAACAAGTTCCGTAGAGCTGTACAATGGGTAGACAACAGACACATATTTGTAACCAGGCGAGTCGGACACACAGGAAAAGAGGGATTGAGGGCCCTGCTCAATAAGCTTACATGCTAGAGGGAGTGGGGTATTGTGACACAAAAGGTAAGGGTATGGTAGAAAAGTATGTTGCTAGGATAGTATTCATTGAGGGCTAGGTCTTGTTTTGATGACAGTTTGAGGAGAGGAATCAGGGTGTTGGAAGAGAAAGCTGATCACAGTTTAATTGATACGCTTTCCTAAAAAGTATGTTTTCATATATCAAATGTTTTTTGAAAGAGTGGAGACTGGGTGAAAGTCTAACATAGAGGGGAAGGGCGTTCCATAGGAACGGTGCACTCCTAGAGAAGTCTTTAGGGTGAGCCTCAGATATAGGAGTACGAACAGAAGTTAGATTTGTGTGAAAGAACTGCTTTAGAGTTACAACTTACCGGCAAGTCCTAGGAGGGCAAACAGGAGTATACTCTTCATGTTGAAACAGGAGATGAGACTTTCCTGGTCCAGACTTAGCATTTTATATCCTATCCGACCCCTAATCTTATCTCTGGGCTCATACCACATGTCTATTCACATGGTTCACATGGTGGTCTTATCATGCCAGCCTTGTGAAACCATCTAATTGAGGAACATTTTCTGAGTGATTGGTTTGGCATTCATCCTGGTGATCACCTGGCATCACTCAGGACCTGGTTGCTCATTCTTTTTTTTTTTTTTTTTATATATATATATTTAATATTCACTCTGTATTCACTCTGCTTGATCTTCACACTCTCCATTCACAGTACTGTTGGGGATTTAGCTAATCTTAGTGCTGTACAATAACGTAGGAGTAATTTTGCATACAATACATCTCCTTACAGAATATAACTATTATATTGTTTATAATATAGTATAATTAAAATGGTTACTGTCCTGTGAACGGAGAGTATATATATATATATATATAAATATAGATAGATATATAGCCAAAAAATCAGCACTCCCAGGATTTTTGCAAAAAATCAAAAAATTATCTTTATTCCAGCGGTCAACGTTTCAGTTCCACTAGGGAACTTTCATCAGGCCAGAATACAAACATATTTTAAAAAACCAACATTGCTTAAATAAGGAGAGCAATCAGATAAGCTCACGATTCAGATGTGTAGGGGACCAGCCAACCTCCCTCCCGAACGAGTAGGCGGCTACAGAGAGCATACGTCACTCTGCTTGCGTGCTCAGGTTACTTCCTGAATGCCCGCATCTCCCATCTCCATGGAGACGTCGGGCGCATGCGTACTAGACAGGTCACTATCTCCCTGCATCCGCCCCTTGCACGGGAGCCAGATCACACACATTATGCCAAAAAGAATACATTGTATCAATGTTTTGAACCTGTTACATTAGCACAGACTCCTCTGAGTGATCGCATATAGGGTTCCACTATTTCTACAAACCACTATCGCTACATATATATAATTCAAAGTCTAAAAAAGCCTAGATAATTAATCATACCAACTTATATATAAATCATCCTAAACTAACACTTATGTGAAATTCCCCTGTGAACTCTTCTATAAATAATAATTATAATATATATTCAATAATACAACCTTATATATAATCTACCCTCTTAAATATATCTCAAAACAAATATTGCATTAAATTTAGGAAATTAAGTGCTCAATTGTAATGCCAAAGGCTAATATAAGCCTGGCCATTTAGAATAATCATAAATTTTATTAATGCAAATAAGCCATTTTATAAACAGCAAAGTGCCAAATGCATAATACTAAAGTGATACTACTGCCACTAAACAGACCACCTAGGTGATCTTGTACAAACTACTAAACTCTCGCATATAATGAAAAAATACGTGTATAGTTATGTATGAGCCCAATCTTTCTATTCATATAAGGGCCTAAATAGTAATACCTCCTTAATTTTTATAAAAAAAGAAAAACAAAAGATACAAAAAATTCAAGACAAAGCATACAGGGAATCCTAAATTCACCCCACATACTATCCTGAACCGTGGCTAAAAGATTACCATAATGATGTATATTTGATACAACTTCATAATCAACAACATCAAAAATATTTTAAAATTAAAGTAAGCCTGTCAACACAATTGTAGATGTATTCACATTTTTGTATTACTATACTGAGCTATCTCCCAATATCTTTCACTGCCATGTAACCTATTAGAGGAAAGAAGTATATGTTAGTTTCTCATTATGTCCATAAGGGGCCAAGGTTCCCAATTTCTGAATCCACCATGTCTCCTTCTGTAACAACTGCTCCTGTCTATTGCCCCCTCTCCTCGAAACTGGGAGATGATCTATCGTCACACACTTCAATGAGACCAATGAATGGCCTTTCTCCAGAAAATGTCGTGCCACCGGTTTATCTGACTTATTCTCCCTGTAGGCCAATCTAATACTGGACCTGTGCCCTCTTATTCTTTCTCAAAGTGCTGTTTCCGTCTTGCCAACGTAGTTTAAGCCACAGGGGCATGACAATTTATAGATTACATAATCTGTATGGCAATTTATCCTGTGTTGAATCTTGAACAATTGACCCGTGTGGATGATTTAAACTTTTGCACGGTATAAGATGTCCACAGGTCACGCAGCCTAAGCATCTTACACATCCATAGTTTGCTACATTTTTACTGATGGCATGTAACTTTGGACCGGGTCAGCATGGACCAAAAGATCCCTTAAATTCTTGTTGTTCCTATAGGAAAACATTGGTCTACTATGGAGACTATCCGGAAGGCTCTTGTCATTCTCCATAATATGCCAGTTTCTAGCTACTGTCTGACAGATTTCAGTAGTGGCTGTGTTGTACATCATTGGAAAAGGAATTATGGTGTTCTTCTCTTGAGGTTTCTTATTTATCTCTCTGCTTTGTTCTCTTGCTTTTTTAAGTGCTCTATCCAGCACTTTACTTGTATATCCTCTCTGTGTAAATTTGTTATACATTTCCTGTAAATGTTTTTCGCACTGAGCTTCCCTAGAATTATTTCTCATTACTCTCAAACACTGGAAAAAGGGTAGGGAATTCTTGACGTGTTTAGGATGCGCGCTCTCGTAATATAGCAATGTATTCGGATCTGTTGGTTTTGTATAAAGTTGATATTCAATCCTTCCTTGTTCGACTAATATCTCCAAATCTAGAAATTGTATGATATGATTATTAATATTCGAGGTCACTTTTATTGGTGTTGTCAATCCATTAATGTCCTCTACAAATTCCAGCGCTTCTTGAGTACTTCCTTTCCATAGGATGAGGATGTCATCAATATATCGAAAGTATTTTATAATACTATCAGAGTACTTTTTGAGGATATATTCCTTTTCAAACTGGTACATATAAGAATTAGCATACATGGGGGCCATAGCCGCCCCCATGGATGTTCCTGCTTTCTGTAAGTACCACTTTGTCTTGAATCAGAAGTAATTATTTCTCAATGCAAGTGATAAAAGTTCCAAAGTATATTCAATGGGTGGTCCTAGATACTGTGTTGTTTCCATTAATAACTCCCTCATAGCATCAATTCCCACCTCATGGGGTATCACTGTATACAAGCTAGATACATCTAGAGTTATCAATGTAACGGATCCATCCAATATTTTCACATGTTTCAGTGCTTCTATTAAATGAGCCGTATCCTTGATAAACGTCGGGATTCCATTAACAGGTAATTTGAACAGAAAGTCTAAGTATTTTGCAATAGGCTCCAATATACCTCCCACTGCCGAAACAATTGGTCGTCTGGGAGGCTTTAAAGGATTTTTGAAAATGTTAGAACTTTCTAGAGTCAGCAATTTATACCCCTATTCTTACCTCTCTTGCCAAACACCACATGTCAATTTACATCAATGTCTTATCAAGTCAAGCTCATAAAAGCCTCTAACTGGAGGAAGTTGTTTGGCACTACGCCTGGGTTTCCATTGACCGTATCAGTTGTTTCATTTCTGCAGCTATTTCATTATATGCATATTACTTGTGTTACCTTTGTCTTTGTGATTCCTTTAATAACTTTTGGATACAGTATCTTTTATACTCATATAAATTCAGTGATTATTTTAAATTGTGTTAAATATGTAACTAGATATTCTCCATCCACTTACCTTTGACAATGTTCTAAACCTTTACAGAATTGAAATGAACAATCCATTGCCTAAAACAAACTATAAAAATCACTGTTTAATAAATATATCCCCAATGAAAACATGCATGCATATATTTCTGCTTTTTATTCTTTGGGTATATATCTAAAAACAGATGAAAACAAAATACCAAGGGGAGACTCGGAGGTTAAGACTGTTTAAACCTCACGAGTCTGCCCTATAAAGTTAGGAGAGCAACTCATAGATAAAACTTAACTTTTAATAGGTATAATAAAATCCCAACAAATGTGGGAAACAGAAGCAATTACAAATCCCAATAAGTGCTAACTCATTTCGCCCATTTCGACAAGTGCTGGCTCTTCATCTATCTTTATTTACAGGGGTTACCCCCCAGTCTTAGTAGCAACCTGACATATCCTCCATGCTTATATCTATTAAAATATCTAAAAACAGCATACAAAACCTGTAGATCTGTTGTCTGTATCATGTGAAAGCACTCCCCTTTATTCCAAGAACAGACATTTGGAAAATAATCCAATCAGAGAAAACCCTCTGTGCTGAAGCATGCATGCTTGCACATACACACTTGATTGTGGCTTTCAAATGCTTCTCAATTAGCTTTCTATGAAGGGGTAAGGCAGGCTCAAACTGTGGAGCTAACAGATGTGGAAGAAAACCTCCCTGTATGTCTGACTGACAGCCAAAGAACAGATTCTGTCTCCAGTTATAAACATTTCTATTGAAATTGGCACTTTCACAATTGGTCTATTAGTTTTTCAGTCCAGTAGGATATATTGACTAAGTTCTTATCATCTGGCAGGTGTATTACAAAATGTAGGTCAAAACTGTTGGAAAAATAGATGATTTTGAGAACTTTTGCATCTTAACTATTTTGGCCTAGATATAAAGTAATTGTACAAAATTTTTTTTTAAAAAGGTAAGAGTATACAAACTGCAATTATAGCTTATTTTTCCAGTTTGGCTGTTTTGACCTTAAATTTGAAATAAACTTTTAATTTTCATTTTAGTGAATAACCCTCATAGTATTTCCATTTTGAATTCAGTAGTTATTTAATTAGCCCCTGTTCTTTCAATCCTCCCATTTCAAGATTGGTTGCATTCTTTCCTTATAACCCTCCAAATACTTTGTTTTCTAAATATGCATATAGCACACATACTATTTAAAGATCATGAAGATATTTCTTGACACAGTGTTTAGTAGAACTAACTTTGAACTCTGTTCAATCTGTATCTGATATTGTAACGCTCAAATATTTGTTAATAGATTATTTTTGGAGGGGAGTTATCATGTGGTTTATAAAAAGTGGAAACACACATATGTTACAGAAGCAAACAACTGAATAAAATTCAGTGCAAAATACAATTGGCATAAAATATATAACTGGAAGCAAAGCAAGTCCTATGTTATGAGAAAAAAAATTTTTGTTTGAAAAATATTAGGATAACATTTATTTAAAACGTGGCAATCGTCATTAGCAATTTTGTGTACCAATTACTTTTGAGGCAAATTTTAAAATTCAATTTACACATTTTGTATTTATTTGGTTTGGAAATAAAACTTTAGATCATATACAGTGTCCCTTATCTTGTAATATATCAGGGTCTGACATGGTAATAAAAAAAAAAAAAAAATTAACATTGCAATAAATACTCTGTTCATAGGTATTTTTAATAACCCTGAAGGTAGTATTGGCAGCAATGTTTGCTAAAATAGCAACAGAATTTAAAAAGAATGTCTGTGTTTGAACATTATGTCCATTTTAATTGCTTGGAATTTGGATGTGCTGTATATTTGGAGACATTATGAGCTTAGCATAATCTTGTGTCCCAAAATCTACCAAAAATATATAATTTTCAATGCATTTTTGACATATTTAAGGGGACCATCAATTTTATTAGATGAATACATAAAACATTGAAAATGTTACTGCAAATCAGGAGAAGAAACAGTAATATTTGTTTCATGTCTGCTCTTTTTTTATCTATGCTTACTGCCAGACGCAAAGGGCAGAGCTTATAAAGATGGCTTGCAAGGAGGTAAGATGGAGTCACCCATGCGGGATAAAGAGGTGTTGATATCTACTTATTGCTATTTATTTTTACATTATTTTTTTGTTTTTCCCCATCTCACAAATACATATTTGTTAAAAACAGCGGGAAATATTAAAAATCCTCGGAATTTTCCCTACAGTGCCATGTCAAAACACAGTGGACTACTACTTTTGCAAGGTGAAAAAAAAATTCCTCTGTTTGTCACTTATCACTTGATCTGTGATTAAAATCAGCATTGATAATGGTCCCCTGGACACCAATTATATTTTTTACCATCAATCATCTGTTTTATTTTTATTTTCTGTTTTTATACCACGTGCAGAAATCTGGATCTAGAATCAAAATAAACATGCTCGTCTATTGCTCAAGTAATTTGTTTTTGTGATTATTTTATAGCGAGGTTCAGAAATCAGGTTTTCATACGACCTTCTGATCAGCCCAAATTCGGACAAAGTTTTATCAGTTCATAACAAAACAAAAAGACTACTTTTTACGTACTGTAGTCATTTTTTCAGCAGCCCAATTAATGGTATGTATGTTGTTCAGAGTAACAATCATCTTTCTAATAATTCTTATGTATATATTGACTGGTGTTCATGATTTAGCACACACATGCACACCCACAATGTCTTCTGGAACAACTGGACTTCTAAACACATTGTATGGTTTGTATTATTCTGTGCACCTATAAACCTGGAATTCCACCACTGACCTGGTTTGCAATGATATCCCCAGACCAAAACTTAAATCTCCTTTGAAATCATAATCATAATCTGACCTTCAAGTTATTATTATTATCATTTATGTAGACCTAAAATGTTCCATATTGCTTTCAATTCATAATTTATCAGAGCTCTTATACAGGTTTGTGTCTGCATTTCTTGGATAAAACTTTTTGATATCAATGTTTTTAAAATTATATGTTTGGTTTCTGACAATGAAGGCAGTAATAACATTGAATTCTCTGCCAAAAGAAGTTGTCTTGATTTATACAGAAATTACTTAATAATTTTTTATTAGCTCTGCTGATTTTTGATAGAATTTTGCTGTTCTCTCAATATGATTGACCCAACCACGAAGCTACAGGTATGTCCATTCCATATTTTGTAATGTATGATAAAAAAAAGAGACATCAGATTTGTTTGCTAATTTATTGAGTTTCTCCTGTATGCCATAATTACATATAGATGACCTTTTCCAGAATATTTAGTAGTTGGCGATGGTCTCCTCAATCCAGCCAATGTAGTTGCACACCTTAGCATAAACGCCTGGATACCCAGATAAAGCACAGCCTCTACCCCAAGATACCACTCCTTGCAGCTCTCCATTGCAAACCACTGGGCCACCTGAGTCACCCTGGGAAATAAATTAGGAAACATGTCAATTTTTTACATTATGGAATATTAAGCTTTGTGTTTATCATCTGTCTAGGTAATAAAACCCAACTTTCTGGGTTTTGTTTTGTCTCTGGTTATATTGGTCATTGTTTTCAAATGTATCTATTTATGTTGTATGTCATACTTGCTATTTTATATCCTATTAAAAAACCTCTGGGTTTTGTTTTGTCTCTGGTTATATTGGTCATTGTATTCAAATGTATCTATTTATGTTGTATGTCATACTTGCTATTTTATATCCTATTAAAAAACTTCTGTACTTCTTTCCTTTGTCTAAATAACATATATTATGATATATTTATTATATATTTATTTAGACAAAATGTTATAATAAGCATATTATTTAGACATTGGAATGAAGCTTTCTTGTTTTTAATAATTACAGTCCCACACATTACAGTCCTTATCGCCCTGCACAGATTGCAGTCCGCACACATCAGCAAGCAGATGAAATTATTTCTGGGGCATATAAATGACTTTGGATCATGTTAGAATTATGTGTCATTCTTCCACTTCCAATGCAGTATTCCACTCTTTCAATGTACCCAATTGGTTCCCAGTAGTGTCCAAGAAATTACTTTATTTGTAGATATTTTTTGCTAAACAACGAAATGCTGAATATTGGATTGTATATGGTATCCCTTCTTATTTTATATTTGAGACATTTGTGATTGCTGTGAAATCTTACATAATTCCCACCAATGATGATTATTATTCTAGATAGTAAGGTAATACTATCATCATATTGTCCCTTTATGAAATTATATACTATTTTGGAGTAACACTATACAATCAGTGCCCTAACCAATCTGAGGATTTTTCTTTTGGCTATTCTTTGTTACCTGGCAGGAATCTTTTCCTCCTTCGAGATAACCCACACAGATCATATTTTGGGTGATTTGTCCTGGATAAGCTTCACGGCACTGCTGGTCAGTGAGGATAGGAGCATCCAAACATTGCAAAAGGTCGGGATAATTTGCTAGAAAAAAAAAAAAAAAGACTGAATCCCAGAAGGGAAATAGATCATATAACATTTTCATGCTAAGCCAAAATAACTTTCTATTGTTCTGGTAAAGTCATGGAGCACAGCGTTCATTACCATTTATTTAAAGTAACTTTTTCTGTGTGTTAACTTGTTTGTACTGTCACCTTACATTACAGTGCTGCACCCCAAAATGGTGCTTTATTAAATAATAAATAATGATAACCTGAATATGTTATAGGGTTACTCCAAACAAAAATACAGTGTTTCATAAAAGATTGGTTAGAGTAACCCTTGCAGTGTTGGTCCACCCACACTAATTAAAAAAACAACAACACTTCTGGCCACAGAGGGGTTGCATTCTGTATGTGCACTATTTCATAGCAAAATGCCAAACATTAATCCTCCAGGAATATATACATACATAGTGGGTGGGGTATCTCGGTCCAGGGTAACAGGTGGTGGTACAGATACAGATACAGATGGAATAACTGTAAAAATACAATGGTAGACAGGCACTTAGTGCAATATCATACAGTATAAGAGTAATATAGTGTAGAGCAAATATTATTGTACTCACAAGGAGAGAGCCAGGGAATTATGGCTCAATCTGGACGCCTGTGGGATAATCAAAAGGGATCCCACTCCCTTTACATGTGCAGATGGTCCTTTGTTGATTCCAAAAAGAAATGTCCACACCAATTATTATTGGGGACTACATTTATTTTAATAAACAAATAAAAAATAAATAAAATTGCAATAAAGTGTATAAATAAGAGTAAGATTCTAATCTGCTAGAAACCACTATATAGTGGAAAAGTAGATAAATCCTCTGTGGGATACAAAACCAATGTAAGACGCGTTTCAGGCTCTAGGTTCTAGGCTTCCTCAGTTGCAACTAGAACTTAGGTGAAACGCGTCTTGCATTTGTTTTGTATCCCACAGAGGACTTATCTACTTTTCCACTATATAGTGGTTTCTAGCAGATTAGAATCTTACTCTTATTTATGCACTTTATTGCAATTTTATTTATTTTTTATTTGTTTATTAAAAGAAATTTAGTCCCCAATAATAATTGATGTGGACATTTCTTTTTGGAATCAACAAAGGACCATCTGCACATGTAAAGGGAGTGGGATCCCTTTTGATTATCCCACAGGCGTCCAGATTGAGCCATAATTCCCTGTCTCTCTCCTTGTGAGTACAATAATATTGGCTATACACTATATTACTCTTATACTGTATGATATTGCACTAGGTGCCTGTCTACCATTGTATTTTTACAGTTATATCATCTGTATCTCTATCTGTACCACCACCTGTTACCCTGGACCGAGATACCCCACCCACTATGTATGTATATATTTCAGTTTAATTTTAGTGTGGATAAGAGAGGTTGCCACACGGGTGTTCTGTGAGTTACTTGGTATTCCTTTTGGGTGACACGCTCAGACTCTGTATTTGTATTAATCCTCCAGGCATTTAAAATGTTTGGAGTAAACTTAATTTTTTTAGATAGCTAAGAGAAAGTAAAGAGAATCTCAGACTGCTAGATACTCACATCCGTAGCTCAGAGTGTTTCCCCATCCAGAGATGAGACATTGTGTTCCGGCTGGAGCACAGGCTGTAGGCAGACGGATTTGCTGTACACGGCTGTTCAGTTTGGCGGGCTCTGACAGTCGGATTAACATGATGTCATTGTCAATCATATAGGAATTGTAATTTGGGTGGCGGATAACCTTTTCAGATTTGATAAATTGTTCATTTCCCTCGATCACTTCAATGTTATGTTCTCCAAGTCTGACTTCAATGCGTCTGCAAGTGATCAAGAAGGTGCCGGTTAACATAGATGTATATACTAAATATATGATAAATATTTATAAACATTTATTACTAATTTGTTTAATCTGAATGTCCATACTATATTAACAACAATCTACCACCCTTAAGATGTACGCCAAGAAAATAATTCTGTTTCCTCCCTGCTCTTTCCATTCACTCTCTTATCAGACTGTGGGCTATGAGGGCAGGGACAACAAAACATCTAAATTTACTGTCAAGCTAGTATCACAAGGCTACCCTTTTTATCTAGAGAAAACCTACATTGGCATCAGTGTTTATTTTGTCGACTAACAATTTTAGTCAAATTTAGGTCGACTAAGATTTTTGAGATGTAAAGCGCTGTGGAATTTGATGGTGCTTTATAAATAATAACATAATAAAAATAATAATATTAAAACTAGGCTAAAACTAAAATAATTCAGATGACTAAAATTAAAATGGCTTTTTAGTCAAAAGACTATGACTAAAACTAAATTGAAATTTGCCGCCAAAATTAACACTGATTGTCATCATGGTAATCACAGTCTAATAGTATGATACGAAAAAGCTACAAAATCAGCAAACATATTACAAAGAAATAATAGCCTCCTAAGTTTATCTCTTACCAGTTTAGAACCAAACGATTATAACTGAGAGTGTTTGAGTTTTTTTTATTATTTTCCTGTAATGTTTTGGACTAATTACCACTTTTTTACATCTACATTACTTACGATTGGTAGCAGTGAGCAGCAGAGACCACCCAGTGATCATTAATCAGAGACCCTCCACAGAAGTGGTAGCCAACATTCAGAGACACGATGTATGGAACGGAATTTTCAGGGCAGGTATAGCCTCCTACGATCTTATCATCATCCAAGGGGAATGCGGCTGTAGAAATGCAACATGATTTATTAATAAGTGTTAATATATTTTAATTGTGCTAATAATTGGTAATGATGTAAGCATAAATGTCCTGTGTGTATTACATGGTGGTAATTGGGGAATGAGTAGTAATACATGATGGAAATTGTTAATGTAAAGCATTACATTAAGGTGATAGGGGAATGGGAAAAAAATTGTGGTAATAGGAGAATAAGTGGTGATAGGTGGAAATAAATGGTGGTCATTGGCCGATAACTGGTGATACATTGCAGAGAGTAGCTATTACTGTCAGTAGAGATTGTAAGATAATATGTACTGGTTTAAATTTAATAGTAATGGGTTTATAGTGATAGTAAGTGCTGCTTGTAAGGAAACATGTGGCAAAATGTGGTACTAAGCAGTAATAAGTGATATTTATTATTATTATTATTATTTTTATTAATATTTCTAAAGCGCCAACAAGTTCCGTAGAGCTGTACAATGGGTAGACTAACAGACACATATTTGTAACCAGGCGAGTCGGACACACAAGAAATGAGGGATTGAGGGCCCTGCTCAATGAGCTTACATGCTAGAGGGAGTGGGGTATTGTGACACAAAAGGTAAGGGTATGGTAGAAAAGTATGCTGCTAGGATAGTATTCATTGAGGGCTAGGTGTTGTTTTGATGACAGTTGGAGGAGAGGAATCAGGGTGTTGGAAGAGAAAGCTGATCACAGTTTAATTGATACGCTTTCCTAAAAAGTATGTTTTGAAAGAGTGGAGACTGGGTGAAAGTCTAACATAGAGGGGAAGGGCGTTCCATAGGAACGGTGCACTCCTAGAGAAGTCTTTAGGGTGAGCATCAGATATAGGAGTACGAACAGAGGTTAGATTTGTGTGAAAGAACTGCTTTAGAGTTACAACTTACCGGCAAGTCCTAGGAGGGCAAACAGGAGTATACTCTTCATGTTGAAACAGGAGATGAGACTTTCCTGGTCCAGACTTAGCATTTTATATCCTATCCAACCCCTAATCTTATCTCTGGGCTCATACCACATGTCTATTCACATGGTTCACATGGTGGTCTTATCATGCCAGCCTTGTGAAACCATCTAATTGAGGAACATTTTCTGAGTGATTGGTTTGGCATTCATCCTGGTGATCACCTGGCATCACTCAGGACCTCCAGTGCCTGACCTTGTTGCTCATTCTTTTTTTTTTTTTATATATATATATTTAATATTCACTCTGTATTCACTCTGCTTGATCTTCACACTCTCCATTCACAGTACTGTTGGGGATTTAGCTAATCTTAGTGTTGTACAATAACGTAGGAGTAATTTTGCATACAATACATCTCCTTACAGAATATAACTATTATATTGTTTATAATATATTGTAATTAAAATGGTTACTGTCCTGTGAACGGAGAGTATATATATATATACAATATATAAAAACCATAGGTCCAGCACTCCAAGATTTACTTATTTAAACAGAAATGGCCCTGTTGCTTACTCTACTAATATACAATAATAAAAAAAAATAATAATAATAAATAAAATAGGTGTTTTTAAAAACGAATACATTTTGTAAGTATTGAAGCTGGTGTTTAGTAAATGAGTGCTCTTGATTCGATATGTTGCATGAATTGACCCCAGCAGCTCCCAGATAATGTATGCATGTTCAGGTGCATGCAGCCATTTTGGTTTCAGATGTAAATATATTTTGTAGTAAAGGCCAATTTCTTTGGTTTTGCACCTCTCCTGGTCACAGGTACTTCATTCCAGGACCCTTTTGAACTATACACTGCAGAGCCCCGGGAAAAAGGATTTCCCAAGTAAGTGTGTTAATTTTATAATAAAAAGGATTAGGTTGCTATGATAGGATGTAGCAAGAATAGGGTACATTGACATTGTGGAAGGCTTATGCAATGTATGATACTTTAACTAAGTTGTCATTATTTTTCCTAAATCAGGTGCTTAAAAAAAAAAAAAAAAAAGACTATTAAAATTATATAATTCTGTGAGCTTTGAAGTTAGTGTTTAGTGAGTGTGTCAGTGCACTAAATATTTGTATGTTACATGTATAACACTAGCCATTGAAGAGTACAAATTTAGCCCTGATGTGTAGAGATATTAGGAGTTTATGCTAGGTCATGTCAAACTATCTTGATTGCATTCTACGAAGAAGTAAGTAGAAGTATAGATAAGCGTCTTGCAGTGGATGTGATCTATTTGGATTTTGCCAAGGCATTTCATACAGTTCCACACAAGAGATTAGTGTTCAGACTTAAATAAATCGGTCTAGATGGAAATTCTTGCTCTTGGGTAGAACATTGGCTTAAAAATAGAGTACAGAGAGTTGTCATTAATGGTGCATTTTCAAGTTGGACAGAGGTGGCAAATGGTGTCCCTCAGGGTTCTGTATTGGGACCCCTTCTATTTAACATGTTTATAAATGATCTTGAAAAAAGAATTGAAAGTCATGTTTCAGTGTTTGCAGATGACAGAAAACTCTGTAAAGTAATACAATGTGAGCAAGATATTACTTTGCTGCAGAGGGATTTAGATAGACTGGGGCACTCAAATGGAAGATGAAATTTAATGTAGAAAAATGCAAAGTTATGCACCTCGGCATAAAATGCACAAGCAACTTATACCCTTAATGGAAGAGAATTAGGGATAACGACACACAAGAAGGACTTGGGAAGTGGTATAGACAACAAACTTTGCAATATTGCAAACTTTGTCAATCAGCAGTGGTTAAGGCCAGTAAGGTATTGTCATGCATGAAAAAGGGCATTCATTCTCGAGATTAGAATGTAATTTTGCCTCTTTATAAATCACTGGTAAGACCACAACTTGAATATGCTGTGCAATTTCGGGCACCTGTTCTAAAGAAATATATTATGGCACTAGAAAGAATGGAGGCGGGCTACACAATTAATAAAAGGAATGAAACATTTTAGCCATGAAGAAAGGTTAAATTTAAACCTCTTTAGCTTAGAAAAACATTGCCTCAGAGGGGATATGGTAATATTATAAAAATGTATCCGGAGCCAATACAAACCATTGTGTGGAAATCTATTTACAAACTGGAGTTTACATCAGACACTAGGTCATGCGTTTAGACTGGAAGAATGAAGTCTGAGAAAGGTTTTTTTTTACCATAAGAACAATAAGGATATTGAATTCTGTGCCTGAAGAAGTTTTATCAGAGTCCGTACAGATGTTTAAACAGCAACTAGATGCATACTTGCAAAAACAGAATGTTCAAGGATATAATCTTTCAATGTAGGGTAATAGCTTCTTGATCCAAGGAAAAATCTGACTGCCAGTCTGGGGTCAAGAGGGAATTTTTTTCCTAATTTGTTGCAAAATTGGAAGTGCTCAAAACTGTTTTTTTTTTTTTTTTGCCTTCTTTTGGATCAACAGCAAAAAAACAAATGTGAGGAAGGCTGAACTTGATGTCTCTTTTCAGTCTGTGTAACTATGTAACTATGGCTTACAGTGGTGGGTAACATTTAAGGCCCAGCTAGTACCATAAGGCTACATATTTTATTATCTATCTATCTATCTGTGGCGGTCTGCCAAGGTACCACCGCCACGGATACCCTTTCCAATAGAAACAGCAAATAATTCCCACAGGAACAATATAACTGATGAAGCATAGCCCCCCACACATGAGCCAAGTCTTAATGCTGGGAGAAGACTGTTTATTTGCAGTACATGCATCAACTTTATACAGTCAGTAAACTCCTCCTCTGTGCCTGAGAGATAATTGAGTCAGGAACTGTACTAAACTCAATAATCTCCAGGCACAGAAAAACATAAAATGTAACAGCACCATAAAAGTACCCCACAACATACATGGGAACCACACACAAGTCACATCTCTGGATAGCCTGGAGCTGGGCAAACAATATATCCAAAAATCAACCAGATCCGTTTGGTAATTTTGGATCACCATTGCAGGGAAGTTCTGACCGGTCTGCCATGAGGTTGAAGCCCAAAACAGTTCCATAGGATTTGTGGCAAGAGCCGATCTCCATTCGTGGGGTTTTTGACGAAAACTGCATAAGGTAGATGAAAGCTTGTTCATGTAGAATGCTCTCCTGGTTCAGTAGTATGTACTTCCCAAACGCTGTTTGTGTAGTCATCATGGAAAGGGAATGGGCAGCAGGTCCATGGTGACCAGTGTTCGGTATGGCCTGGCCGAAATGGGTTCCAGACACTTGATGACCAAGTCCTGCTGCCTGCTTTTGGGAGACAAAATGGCCGGCATCCATTGTCCCGACCACATGTGTTCGTATGCACAAAATGGTGGCCACCCAGTGAAGCATTCAATCAATTAGTTCCTTTGCTGTTTTCGTACAAGATACATAACGTTCCATGTTCTAATAAGTCTCTAGGGTGGTCTCGGTTTGGGAGCCGAATGAAATAAACTAAATAAAAATCCATATGAATCCAGAAATGCAAAAAGAGCTGAAAGTGAAGGGGATATTAGTTCACACTATCTATCTATCTATCTATCTATCTATCTATCTATCTATCTATCCTTTTCAGTTTGCAGCATGTGTGCATTAGCCTTCCAATTCTTTCCTGTTAGAAAGCATTGGATTGGATGATATGGTCTATTCTGATGATCGTAGCCAAGGAGGTGAAGTGTAGGCAGAGTCAGTGCCTTATTTAAGGGGGATAAGGGAGGGACAACAAACTAATATGTGTTTTTACCACTATAGGTTCAAGAATACACATTTGTATTCCTAACCCTATAGTGTTCCTTTGAGTTTAATATTTCTATATATATATTATATATTTTTTAATGTGTTGCTGTTTACTGTATGTTACATTGCATGATCAATGGTTTTGTACTTAACTTTGCTGCGGTTGTATATAAACGGTATTGTCTGTTTTAGTTCATTAAACCAAAGCACATAACAGTTTGACAAACAAGCATTTGCTAAAGATTCTGTCTGGTTGAACAGAGGGTTTAGTTCCATCTATTCAGTAACGGGTAAGTGGTTGTTACTAAGGTGTTGGATTGACCGGCATATTTCTCCGTTCTGTTTTTCTAGATGCCCCTGTCACCATGGTTTTGGGTTATACAGCCTCATAACACCTTACACCTCAACACCAAATAGTGCTTCCAATTTGTGCCTTTAGTTTATCCTTGAGGGCACTAAGACCTGATACACCAACATCTATCCACAGGGGAACCAACAGTGTTGACTTAATCTTGAGCAAACAACAAAAATTAGGAAACATAAGAGCTGCCAAGCCCTCACATTAAGATCCAGCATGAGCTTTCATTTTCATACTTGGCTTTGCAATCAAATAGTGCCCCCCCAAACTTTGGCAGAGAGCTCACCAATCCAATCATGCTAGACTTGTGTTAATTATATTAACTAGATTATAAGACAGAAGAATCTTATTGAATTTGGTATTGAAGCTAGAGGCAAGATAAATGAAAAGCCCAGGAGTCCCCCCATTCTAACTGGTTACTGTCTAATTTGTGTACTTTTTTGAATGTATATATATTTTATTTGCAATAAATACATTGGGGATTATACAGGTGTTTTTCCTATTCCAGATCAAATGAGAAGTGATCCATAGAGGGAAAAAAGAAGTAAAAAATAATAAATCTATATTCATGTCGTTTTATATCATACATATAATAAATAATAATATATAAATATCATATTTTGTTTGCTGCTAATCTTTTCCCCTCTGTTCGTTATTTTCTCACTTGATCTGTGAACAATAGACTGTAAGCTTGTTTGAGCAGGGTCGTCTTCAACCTATCGTTTCTGTAAGTTTTCTTGTAGTTGTCCTATTTATAGCCAAATCCCCCCCCCCCCATAATATTGTAAAGCGCTATGGAATCTGTTGGGGCTATATAAATGGCAACAATAATAATAATAACAAATATTTGTATTATGTATATATTTCGCAGTGCACTGATT